ACGATGGACCCGACACACGCACCGTGAATACATGGAATGATGAGAGGTTTCGTCTCTCTATATATATTAAACCTACACCTGGGTCACAAGTCCCAGTCACTGTTGAAGCTCCTCTCACTACAACGATGGACCCGACACACGCACCGTGAATACATGGAATGATGAGAGGTTTCGTCTCTCTATATATATTAAACCTACACCTGGGTCACAAGTCCCAGTCACTGTTGAAGCTCCTCTCACTACAACGATGGACCCGACACACGCACCGTGAATACATGGAATGATGAGAGGTTTCGTCTCTCTATATATATTAAACCTACACCTGGGTCACAAGTCCCAGTCACTGTTGAAGCTCCTCTCACTACAACGATGGACCCGACACACGCACCGTGAATACATGGAATGATGAGAGGTTTCGTCTCTCTATATATATTAAACCTACACCTGGGTCACAAGTCCCAGTCACTGTTGAAGCTCCTCTCACTACAACGATGGACCCGACACACGCACCGTGAATACATGGAATGATGAGAGGTTTCGTCTCTCTATATATATTAAACCTACACCTGGGTCACAAGTCCCAGTCACTGTTGAAGCTCCTCTCACTACAACGATGGACCCGACACACGCACCGTGAATACATGGAATGATGAGAGGTTTCGTCTCTCTATATATATTAAACCTACACCTGGGTCACAAGTCCCAGTCACTGTTGAAGCTCCTCTCACTACAACGATGGACCCGACACACGCACCGTGAATACATGGAATGATGAGAGGTTTCGTCTCTCTATATATATTAAACCTACACCTGGGTCACAAGTCCCAGTCACTGTTGAAGCTCCTCTCACTACAACGATGGACCCGACACACGCACCGTGAATACATGGAATGATGAGAGGTTTCGTCTCTCTATATATATTAAACCTACACCTGGGTCACAAGTCCCAGTCACTGTTGAAGCTCCTCTCACTACAACGATGGACCCGACACACGCACCGTGAATACATGGAATGATGAGAGGATTCGTCTCTCTATATATATTAAACCTACACCTGGGTCACAAGTCCCAGTCACTGTTGAAGCTCCTCTCACTACAACGATGGACCCGACACACGCACCGTGAATACATGGAATGATGAGAGGTTTCGTCTCTCTATATATATTAAACCTACACCTGGGTCACAAGTCCCAGTCACTGTTGAAGCTCCTCTCACTACAACGATGGACCCGACACACGCACCGTGAATACATGGAATGATGAGAGGATTCGTCTCTCTATATATATTAAACCTACACCTGGGTCACAAGTCCCAGTCACTGTTGAAGCTCCTCTCACTACAACGATGGACCCGACACACGCACCGTGAATACATGGAATGATGAGAGGTTTCGTCTCTCTATATATATTAAACCTACACCTGGGTCACAAGTCCCAGTCACTGTTGAAGCTCCTCTCACTACAACGATGGACCCGACACACGCACCGTGAATACATGGAATGATGAGAGGTTTCGTCTCTCTATATATATTAAACCTACACCTGGGTCACAAGTCCCAGTCACTGTTGAAGCTCCTCTCACTACAACGATGGACCCGACACACGCACCGTGAATACATGGAATGATGAGAGGTTTCGTCTCTCTATATATATTAAACCTACACCTGGGTCACAAGTCCCAGTCACTGTTGAAGCTCCTCTCACTACAACGATGGACCCGACACACGCACCGTGAATACATGGAATGATGAGAGGTTTCGTCTCTCTATATATATTAAACCTACACCTGGGTCACAAGTCCCAGTCACTGTTGAAGCTCCTCTCACTACAACGATGGACCCGACACACGCACCGTGAATACATGGAATGATGAGAGGTTTCGTCTCTCTATATATATTAAACCTACACCTGGGTCACAAGTCCCAGTCACTGTTGAAGCTCCTCTCACTACAACGATGGACCCGACACACGCACCGTGAATACATGGAATGATGAGAGGTTTCGTCTCTCTATATATATTAAACCTACACCTGGGTCACAAGTCCCAGTCACTGTTGAAGCTCCTCTCACTACAACGATGGACCCGACACACGCACCGTGAATACATGGAATGATGAGAGGTTTCGTCTCTCTATATATATTAAACCTACACCTGGGTCACAAGTCCCAGTCACTGTTGAAGCTCCTCTCACTACAACGATGGACCCGACACACGCACCGTGAATACATGGAATGATGAGAGGTTTCGTCTCTCTATATATATTAAACCTACACCTGGGTCACAAGTCCCAGTCACTGTTGAAGCTCCTCTCACTACAACGATGGACCCGACACACGCACCGTGAATACATGGAATGATGAGAGGATTCGTCTTTCATTTTAGGGATTCACCCAAGACGCTGCTTGAATTATTGGTGGTTTCGAATATCAAAATTATTTACACCCTCAAGCAATATAAAATAATTTTCATAAAACACATTTCCCCAACCGGAATCGAACCCAACAAATACAAATTCTTGCAACCACTAAGCCTAATGCTACTTACTAAAAATAAGATAAATACATCTTTATCTATTGTTTACGAAAAAACCAAGGCCGCTTTATATAAAAATATGACTGAATTCACTATCATAATCTCATGGACATATCGTTGCGATAACATTTCACGCAAATACTCGACTTTGGAAAAGAATGGTTATGTTTTTCATACGCCTTGCTATAAAAAATAACTAATTACAGTAGGTATACCGTGAGTTAGACCAACTTATATACATACATACATCATCATCATCATCAGCCTATCAGAGCCCACTGCTGAGCCTCTTCTCACATGGAAAAGGTTTGAGCATTAATCACCGCGCTTGCTCAAGACGGGTTGATGATTTCAAACTTATAATTTGTTATTATAAGTCCATGTTTCCTCACGATGTTTTCCTTCAACAGTCAGTGATGTCTAAATACTCTTATAAAGTACATATGACTCGGAAAATCACATTGGCACTTATCAGGTTTCGAATCCGCGCCCTCATGCATGATAGGTGGGCCTTTAACCACTGGGATACCACGACTTTACGTACAGACGGACCACATATTTTACGACAATTTATATATATTATAGCTATCTTATATATAAATCATATCATTAACGTAACGTTTATAGTTTAAACTGTTACATTGAAGTTAGTTAACACATACTAAGGGTCACGATATTTATCACCAAAGTCGAGATATAGACGCGACGACTGCTTATTTTTTACAATTGATAAGAAGAACTTCCGTATTACTATGTAGCCTTAATACAAGTCACACACTACATACGTAGCGTCAACAGTATTTCATTCATAACATCTCACATAGTATAACGTATTGAATTAAACAGGAAATGTACATATACGTACTAATTAGTGACGATGCAAGTATGATATTTTTCGCGTCTGAACTATTGAAGTAAACAACAATTAGTTGATAAATACGATCTTTTAAATATACATAATAAAATAACAAATTAAAAGGTTTTTCCGAAGCTGTAAATCATAATTTAGCATGCAAAACCAGAGAGGAAAACATATATGTATATATGTTTTGTGCACTGATAATAATTTCCTCTTAATCTTTAATTTCACCTCAATAATCAAGAATTATCTCAAACCAATACATTTAAACATGTATGTATAATGACAATGATTTTATTTAACGCTAACTTACATCATATATGGCATAAACGAAATCGTAAACAAAAACGGAACAATTTTCTTTACAAATCATTTAGATATATATATTTATACTTACGAATCAAAAAATATGTAATCCTGTACACTAAAACACACGACGCTTGCACTATAACACACAAAAACATATATTAATTAATTAAAATAAATATTTCACAATAAAAAACTATACATCGTATAAATACAAACAATTTGAAACGTCAAACTAATGGCGCGTAATGTACACAGACTATATATAGAATGCAGACAACAGACTGCGACGGCGTACAGAACAAGACTAAGGTCATTTCATTTAAAACACAATCTCGATGACGTAGTACACTCGTGGAATGAATTGATAACTACGGCGCTAATTATGTATCTATATGAGCTATATTATATAATAATGTATAAAATTCTTTATTTTTTTTTTATTTATTCATTATCTATCCAAAGAGGTTTGTTACTTTTTTTTTCGACTCTAATCAATACATCCATAAGATTGTGTTTGAATTTAATATATAAATATTTGGCACATAGAAATGATAAAATCAACAGTCAACTTTGATGATATCATTTGGAGTTTATTTATTATCTATCTACGTGATAAAACAATTGTATGTATTTCATATATGGACGTATCTTGTTGGACAAAAAACATAACTCAGAAACTTATCTTTTTTGACATAAATTACTGTATTTCGTTAGATAATGGCTATCGTGCAAAAATTTTTGTCATTGATGCCGAGGGATGGATAAAGAAATTATCTTTATAAATTCGTACAAGGCTTTTTTATTTGCCGTTTGAAAAGACTTTTTACTTTATGAAAATAACCAATATTTGACGTCCTAACACCACAGATTATTGTTATTATTAAAAATAAAACAGATTCAATCCTCTTAAACACTATATAAATATGTAGCTAAGTGTATGTAATATTATATTTTTGTTTATTTGTTCATAATAAAAGATTATTTTAATTATAGTTGTACGTATCTCGTGTAGATAAAAGCTAAGCAAATAATTTATATAAATGATTACATTTTATTGTATATTTGTGTTTTTTATTATCTTTTGACGTGATCTTTAAAAGCATTATACATACATGTGTACCTTTAGTCATAATGTTAATTACTATTACAAAACGTACGTCACAGGTACAAAACTTGTCAATTAATTGTCAATTAACTCTTAAATTGTTAATGTTATTTTTAACAAAAAATCTAAATGGATAATACTAAATGAGTTTTTATTTAAGAAAAGAGAAAATTAAATTTATTAAGATTTTTATTTCACCAATTTTCAATAGACCAACCGTAGTCGAGAGGGAATCTGGAAAAAAAAACATTTGACTTATGACATCTGTTTATAATTTTTGACATGTATACTTTTTAATTTCTTTTAATTATTTATTAATATTATATGTAACCTTTTTATATTATTTCTTTATATATATTTGTATTATTTAATGAAAAAATCTGTCCTTGGCAGCTAAACTCACAGGTATGTCACTGATAAATGTTATCATATTTAATGCAACATGTTGCTTAATAAATAAAATTAATTTGCATCTATGTGAACTACCACCTTGAATTAATACATTGAAATATAATTATCAAAGCTTCATTATTAAAATTTATGGCTGTCATATCTAAAAAATCATGTTATTTAATATAAAGGTATAAAATTTTTAAGAATAACCACTTTTTGAGTACTACTGTGTGTGTGTGTGTGTGTGTGTGTGTGTGTGTGTGTGTGTGTGTGTGTGTGTGTGTGTGTGTGTGTGTGTACCCACATCTTCTTCCTCTTCTTCTTCTTGGTCACAGAGGACGTTATTCCGTGCTTGGCCAACTGCTTGTAATATTTCTTCTTCTCCTTCATAGCTTTCTTTTGTTCCTTAATCTGCTGCGCCAGCCACCTCTCATACTCGGCCTGCTGGCCCTCTATTTCCTTTACTTTCTTTTGATGCGCGTCTCCTCCTTTGGGAAGAAAACATTTAACCAAAGATATCTGCTTAGTCAGTGGTGGCCTAGTGGTTAAAGCCCGCCTCTCATGCACGAGGACGCAGGTTCGATCCTGGCCCAGGCAAGTACTAATGCGATTTTTCCGAGTCATATGCACTTATAAGAGTATTTAGACACCACTGATTAATTCCCAAAGAGGGTTGATGTAAGACAGGCCGTAAAAACAATTAGCCAAAACTATTCACATAAGGCAGACCCTGGCTGTAGCTGGGAATTTGCTAAATAGCAGAAGAATCTATATTATAACCAAAGTTATCTTCTAGAACTTCACAGAAGAATACATACCTTTATCGGCTTTATCACCTACATCAGTGAATACTCCGCCTTTAATAGTCTTATATTTCTTTTCCAATTCGTGCATCATATTGCAAAGGTGGATGATGACTTTGCTGAGCTCCAATATATTTGTGTACATAAAGAACATGTAGTTAACTGGAGCGAAATTTCTCATTGGATGCTTTATGTATCTCCTATCAATAATTTGGTACAGCTCCAAAATCATTTGGTAATGCAAAATAACTTCGTGAGTAAGGTAACCAACTTCGTACTCCAAATTACCCACGTACAAATCCCTGACGTGAAAATATCTGTCTATATCCGCCATGCTGAAACAAATATACATTAAAAACAAATTAAAATTCAGATCTTTTTGTACATATAAAAGAAAGTAGTTACACTATTTATAAGAACGACTGTACGGATATGGATGAAGATTGGTGGAGAGATAGATTAGAACATAGAAAGAAATTCGATCGAAAAAAAATACTTAATAAATTCCAATATTTAATTATTTACGGCCTCTAATTCGGAATAGAGTTCATCCGGTCAGCTATACATATATTACTAATGACGAAATTAATGCGTACGAACTCACGGGCAAAACCTAGTTTATATTTTGGATAGATTGTAGTGAAATAGAAATCTTCAAATAATCTTTATACAGAATAATTTTATGTAATTGATTTATCTTCTCAAGATGCATATTGCTAATGATGATGAGTATAGGAAAACTTTAAATTGTTCAATGATGGTATAGCTTCAAATTACTTTGGTAAATATATAGATAATGCAATATTTGCTGATTATGTCTTTAGTTGTATGCATAACTATAGATCTCACTCATATAATAAATGCAAAAGCAGTGGTGGCCTAGTGGTTAAAGCCTCTTTTACACGAGGGCGCGGGTTCGATCCTGTCAAGTACCAATGTGATGTTCCGAGTCATATGTACTTTAAGAGTATTTAGACATCATTGACTGATGAAGGAAATATGAGGCAACATGGACTTATATAAATTATAAGTTTGAAATCACATTATATAAATATTACAAAAAGAAATTGTAACAATTCAATCATTTGACCATAGTTGAGAGACCTCGTATCATAGCTTAATTAAATCAAAGAAAGTACTTAAACTATTGTAAAATCTATATTTTTAACTTTACTAACATATCAATCAGTAACCATTCTGTAGAATTCATGTAACAAATATTTCTATATATAAATATAGCCTAAATGAAACTAGTATTTTTTCGTATATATGTACTACGCTTGCTTTCTTTTTATGTAAAACTACGTACTCCCGACGTTTCGGCTACTTTTCAGCAACCGTGATCATTAAGACGAGAAAAATATATCGCATAGTACATCCGACATATATCCTCTCATCATTCCATGTATTCACGGTGCGTGTGTCGGGTCCATCGTTGTAGTGAGAGGAGCTTCAACAGTGACTGGGATTTGAGACCCAGGTGTAGGTTTAAGGGACCCTATCTAATGTTAAACGATCACCTCCACCGTACAAGCTCCTCTCTCTACAAATTCATCAGCCTATCAGAGCCCACTGCTGAGCAGTCTTCTTCTCACACGGAGAAGGTTTTTCTCAACATATTAGTTTCATTTAAATGAATAAAATTTAAGTTTAAGATCTAGACTAAGGAGTAAGTTGAATATATTTTTGTATTATATACTAGAAGACCTGGCGAACTTCGTATCTCCCTATAATCAAGAAATATCTATTACTTTTTTTTTATTTATATTTTTGGAGTTTACCTGTAATCCATAAATCTCCGTGTTTTGAAGTGCGACAGAATGATTGACATATTAATCAGCTGTCAAATCTAATGTCAAAAAAAACGTTTGTATGCGAAATAGAAAAGGGCTGTTTTTATGGTTTTCCCAGTAATGAATCAATTGTTTTTTATCTTTTATACCTTCCCTGAACCTCCACGAACATTTCAAGACTAAGATAATATAAATCCGTTCAGCTGCTCTCGAGTTTTAGCGAGACTAAGGAACAGCAATCCATTTTTATATATATAGAAGATGTAACTAACGCATTTCTGTAAGCTATAGTTGTAACGTAGCAGAGCATGATTCTTCTGTTCATTTTCCAGATGTAGTTGATCAGGTTAACGTTGAATAACACATCTCTCCTGGTCGAGTTCATTATGTCAGCAACACCCGACGTGTTTAGCACTGAAAACATATATTATCCTTACTAATATTATTACGAAAGTAGCTCTGTCTATCTGTCTGTTTGTTACGCTTTCACGCCTAAACCACTGAACTGATTTTAATGAAATTTAGTACAGACATAGAGTTGACCTTGAGAAAGAACATAGGATAGTTTTTATTCCAGACTTTTGAAAGGTTCTCTTGGAAACGCGATATAACCGAACTCCACGCGGGCGAAGCTGCGGACGGAAAGCTAGTTATTAATATTTGTGATAGTAATAGTTCGAATTGTCTAAAAATAAACAAAGATTATACATAGTTTAATATCGCATTTGTAGTTATTGTTTTATATATATGTATTTTTTTTTACATTTTCTTATATTTAAATTACTTTACAGAGATCATGATGACGGTCTACAAAATGAAATTGTCTGTCCGTAAGTCTTGTTGTATAAATAACAGAATTTAATATATCCAAACCGAGATTTATAAAGCTAAAGTTTTATAAAGAAAAACAGTTCAAGGAAGCTGGAAATTCTGTCCACCGAGATTGAGAGAGGAGCTTGTACGGTGGAGGTGATCGTTTAACGTTAGATAGGGTCCCTTAAACCTACACCTGGGTCACAAGTACCAGTCACTGTTGAAGCTCCTCTCACTACAACGATGGACCCGACACACGCACCGTGAATACATGGAATGATGAGAGGTTATATCCATGTATTCACCATAAGATCCCTACATTTGATCTGGCTTATCTTTACTAAAACTTAAGAATAGCAATTGATGTCACAAAATTGTGGTTAAATAGTCATACCTTCTGTTGAAGATAATTAATTATGACTCATATATATACTAGCTGTGCCCGCGACTTCGTTCGCGTGGATTAGTGACTATGAGCAGCGTTTTTTTGACATAACTTTTTTATTTATGAACCGATTGACATGAAACAAACACTAAAGCATAACTGAAGCATACCACAATATATTCGTGAAAACCGCATCCAAATCGGATCAGCCGTTTCTGAGATTAGCGTGAACAGACAAACGGACAAAAAAAAAGTTAATTACATTTTTGGGTTCGACATCGACATAACGATAACCCCTGCTATTTTTTTAAAATTTTATTTTCAATGTACAGACAGCACTTTTCTACAATTTTATTATATATATATAGCTTAGATTTACTCGTAAAATAACTCGTTTTTAACTTATACCGCGTTAGTTTAATCAAACAATATTTATATTTTTTTACCTGATGGACCATTTTCCAGTGTCACGTACAACTGAGTCGTTATGTCACCCATTATAGGTGAAATTGGCGCTTGAGCATTGTCATCCACTGCCCCGGTCACTGTAAATATTCACGAATCTTCTATATATATATATATATATATATATATATATATATATATATATATATATATATATATCTTCTATATATATAAAAATGGATTGCTGTTCCTTAGTCTCGCTAAAACTCGAGAACAGCTGAACGGATTTATCTTATCTTAGTCTTGAAATGTTCGAAGAGGTTCAGGGAAGGTATAAAAACTTAAAAAAATTGATTCATTTTCGGGAAAACCCTAAAAACAGCCCTTTTCTATTTCCCATACAAACTTTTTTTATTCAATAGATTTGACAACTAACTAATATGTCAATCATTCTGTCGCACTTCAAAACACGGAGATTTATGGCTTATAGGTAAACTCCAAAAATATAAATAAAAAAACGTAATAGATATTTCTTGATTATAGAGCGATACGAAGTTCGCCGGGTCTTCTAGTACACTATTTTAATATAATTAAACTATTTAGGATCATAATTAAATGTATGGCATCCAGGCGACGTGTTTCAATTTAGAGGCATTATATAAACAGAATTTGGTAGCTATAAGCAAATTATTATTTTTATCCAACGAATTCAAAGGTATCCTATGTCCTTTCTGTGTTCTAAGCTCTCCACAAATTTCCATCCAAACCTCTACGGAAGAATTGAGTTCGTCCGGTCAGCTATACATATATTACTAATGAAGAAATTAACGCGGACGAAGTCGCGGGCAAAAGCTAGTATATATAATATATATGTATATTTTATGCTAAAAGTTCTAAGTTTACAAAAAAATCATATTGTATTTTGTATGGATGTTTTTTTACTTGTAATCCAAAGTCTGGATCTATCCATACTAAATTATGATAACAAAAAATTGTTATTACATTCGAATAAACATAATAATTATTAGACAAAATACAATCCCTACTAATATTATAAATGCGAAAGTAACTCTGTCTGTCTGTTACGCTGTCACGACTAAACCACTGAACTGATTTTAATGAAATTTGGTACAGACATAGAGTTGACCTTGAGAAAGAACATAGGATAGTTTTTATTAGAGACTTTTGAAAGGTTCTCTTGGAAACGCGATATCACCGAACTCCACCCGGGCGAAGCTGCGGACGGAAAGCTAGGTATATATAAAAACATTTTTTATCAATAAAATTTTTACCTCTTACTAATAATAGAAACCAAATCATCGTTACATTTTACACACGTACAAAACACATTAAAATACCTACTGGTCATTAATAATTAATATGCTTATATGAAAATTAATGAGAATTAACGACCATGTTTTTACGTATAAAGTGTTTTTCAGTTTATTGATAAGATTTAGGAGTAACGGTTGATTGAGAAAATGCAACACTTTGTAGTCAAAAGCAAAGATGTACGTTTGTATGGGAAATAGAAAAGCGCTGTTTTTAGGGTTTTCCCGGAAATAAATCCATTTTTTTTCATCTTTTAAACCTTTCCTGAACCTCCACAAATATTTCAAGACTAAGATAATATAAATCCGTTCAGCCGTTCTTGAGTTTTAGTGAGACTAACGAACAGCAAGTCATTTTTATATGTTATGTATAATTTATAATAATGTATTATGTATATGATTGAGAAAATGCGATACTTTGCAGTCAAAAAGCAAAGATAGATAGTGCTTTAGGCTTAACCAATCCCGAAAAAGTAGTATATGTTATTCTATCACCAATATTCTAGGTACAGTGTCAATCTTGATTCTTAATGGTCTGCATTACTTAATCATCACCTACAAAATGGCTAAAGCCAGTTGCCATAACAAAATTAACATAAATAAATACAAATATTCGTTTTAATATTATTTATAAAGATCAGTTATAAAAATAATTCTAAGGATTATAGTATACTAGCTTTCTGCCCGCAGCCTCGCCCGCGTGGAGTTCGGTTATATCGCGTTTATAAAAGAACCTTTCAAAAATCTGGTATAAAAACTATCCTATGTTCTTTCTCAAGGTCAACTCTATGTCTGTACCAAATTTCATTAAAATCAGTTCAGTGGTTTAGGCGTGAAAGCGTAACAGACAGACAGACAGACAGAGTTACTTTCGCATTTATAATATTAGTAGGGATTATAAAGTGTAGTAGTTTAGTAGGAAGGCAGACCCTGGCTTAAACTGGGATAATTGCCAGGAAGAAGAAGAAGGATGGCGCTCCTTGTAACACACTATTAAAGATGAATAAAATGCGTTCATCACATAAATATTTATCACCTAATCAGGTGAAATAACAGTGAAGTATTACCCAGTGGAGAAACGACAAGAATCTTCTCCTCATTCCATGTATTCACGGTGCGTGTGTCGGGTCCATCGTTGTAGTGAGAGGAGCTTCAACAGTGACTGGGACTTGTGACCCAGGTGTAGGTTTAAGGGGCACTATCTAACGTTAAACGATCACCTCCACCGTACAAGCTCCTCTCTCTACATATAACATAAAATAAAAAGTGAAAAACACATCTCGTCTTAATGATCACGGTTGCTGTAAAATAGCGACAACCTCGGGAGTGTGCAGTTTTTCCAAAAATAAAATCGAATAGTATGTATATTTAATCTGAAAAATATTACTTTCATTTAAATGAACAAAACTCTCGAAATCTTAGATCTCATTAAAAATCGAAAAATCCTACTAATATTATAATTGCGAAAGTTTGTGAGTGTGTGTATGTTTGTTACTTCTTTACTCTCAAACGGCTGAAGCGATTTTGATAAAATTTTGTATACAGGAAGCTGACGTCTAGGAATAAGACATAGGCTACTTTACATCCCGGAAATCAAGTAACACCGGGCACAGCTAGTATTTAATAAATTAAACAAAAGACAATTGTTTAACAGATAGATGATTTTATTAGTTTTTTGTATTAAATATTAACAGGAAGTTATTATTATATATTAAAAAAAGTCATCATTAAGTTGGGGCATCCATCTCTTCCTTGGTGCTGGAGATGAAGAAGTTCTGTTTGCCAGTAAATGTTTCAGATCAACTGTCGTAGTACTCTCGTACCGAGCTTTAATGTCCGCGTAGATTCCCTTCTCTGTCCTAATCTCGTTGTAATAACCTTCTGTTGAATTTAAAAATATTTAATTTTTAAATATCACAGATTTAGTTTGATCTTGCTTGTCTCACAAATATGTATATGTTACTTATAACAAAAATATTGATCGTACATAGTTCTATGCAATTCATAAACTCATATACATATACAGGGTGACTGGTGAATTACTATCGATATTTGAGGACGTGATATTTGACGATCATATATGACAAAATAAAAATTAATATAACATAAATATTAATAAACTTCTAAGTAAAGTTAACCAAAAGTTATGTAATTAATTACGCATCGTATGAACACCCTACAGATTAGGTATACACACACACACACACATACGCGCGCGGCGGTGTGTTGTTGTATCAGCACGCCGCTGCACGCGTCCACACTTGGAACACTTGGAACGTGTACACTCTTTATTTATTTATACGGAAATTTGGTCAAAAATTAAGTACCTATTTTTTTTACATAATTCGAATGAGAATCATGTACCGAGTATGCTCCTTAAATATTGATAGTAATTCACCAGTCACCCTGTATATACAAACTAGTTTTTACCCGCCACTTCGTCCGCGTTAATTTCGTCATTAGTAATACATGTATAGCTGACCGGGCGAACTCTGTTCCGTCTTAAATAACCAGGTATTGGTATTTATTAAATTTTTCCTGTTTCAATCGAACAGACTGATTGACATATTAGTTAGTTATCATATCTAATGTCAAATGTTTTTAGTGTTTTCCCGGAAATAAATGATTTTTTTTCATCTTTTATACCTTCCCTGAACCTTCACGAACATTTCAAGACTAAGATAAGATAAATCCGTTCAGCCGTTCTCGAGTTTTATATATATAGATAAATAAAATTGGAGTCTGTTTGTAATATTGAAATAACAGTTTTTTACTACATATAAAAATGTATACGGTGCACACACCAAAATAACATTTTTTACAATTTTTTGTTTGTTTGTCTGTCTGTTTGTTCCGACTAATCTCTGTATCGGCTGGACCGATTCTGACGGGACTGTGACTGGCAGGTAGCTGATGTAATAAGGAGTAACTTAGGGTACTTTTGATCCTGATCCCGAAATTAAATGTTATCACGCGCGGCTTAAATTTTTTTTATTGTTTATCTTTTCTTTTTTACTCAGACGAAGGCGTGGGTAACAGCTAGTTATATGCAATTTGCAGAGGATTCTTTTCGCTTGGCCTACGGAATAGTTATCTGTTATGTCCCTTTTTGAACAATATGAGACAGAAGATAATTTCATTCATTTTACATGAGAAGTTCTTAAATAACTCTTTTACTAGAGAAATTTGTGCCAAATAATTTGATTGATTTGCGGACAAACACTCGTGAATGAATATTCCCTTTTCCTAACCTTTCCTTCCCTTTGTTTTCCCTCCCTTTCCCACATTTTACTCCCCCTTTTCTCCAAACAAAGAACACATTCTCAAATCTACGTTGCGTATGTCCATGGGCGACGGGACTACCTCCATCAGGTAGGCCGTCTGCTCGGTTGCAGATTTTTCCCTTAATTTTTTTTTATTAAAATCCTATTTTTTGCGTAATTGGAGCTCACCCATAACCTGTAGCGCTCTAAAGTTATGTTCAATCTGAAACAGCCTCTTCTTGTAGGCTTCCATGTTGGCGTATTTTCTATAGAGCTTGAGCATGAGATAAAATCTTTCCTGTATCCCAGCAGCGACGGTCCCAAGTTCGTAAGTGATGCTGTGCTTGTGCATCTCCCTAATCTTCTCAGCGTGCTTCAGCTTGTAAGTGCCATCTGAAGTACAACGAACAAGTAATATTTTATTAACAAATAGCTTTCCGCCCGCAGCTTCACCCGCGTGGAGTTCGGTTATATCGCGTTTCCAAGAGAACCTTTCAAAAGTCTGGGATAAAAACTATCCTATGTTCTTTATTAAGGTCAATTTCATCTCCGTACCAAATTTCATTAAAATCAGTTCAGTGGTTTAGGCGTGAAAGCGTAACAGACAGACAGACAGACAGAGTTACTTTCGCATTTATAATATTAGTAGGGATATCTACACAGATAAATGAAAAAATATGAGCAATAACAAGAAACTAATTTATAATTATTAGTATTATTAATTCTTAAGATGTTTTTTTTTGTATAATTTTATATATTTCTGACGTTATACTTTTGGCCCGATGTAGAAAAATGGTGAGTGATTTTTTACGACGCGCGTGCCGACAGCGACATCGTGAAGTTAGTTACAAGTGACATGTTAATATATAACTATGTTCAAGTTGTATATTATAGTATATATATATTTAGAACAGTTTTTAACAGTCAGTGGTGGCCCAGTGGTTATGAGGCCCGCCTCTCGTGCACGAGTGCGCGGGTTCGATCCTGACCCAGGCAAGTACCAATGTGATATTTCCGAGTCATATGTACATTCTAAGAATATTTAGACATAACTGATTAATACATTCCCAAAAGAGGGTTGATGTCAAGCAGGCGGCCGGTCGTAAAAACAATTAGCCAAAACTATTTAAAAAAACATTTATGATGTAAGGCAGACCCTGGCTAAAGCTGGGAAATTGCCAGTTAGAGGAAGTATTTATATATTTAGAACACGTTCGTAACAGTGTGAATAAAAAAACATTGGTTTTTTGTAAAGTAGGTTTACGATCGAGATGTTTACGTGATAACGTCTTATTGGTGATATAAGTTTTTGGGAAGTATAACATTCAACGAAAACTTAACCGCACGAGAAAATCTCCATTCGTTTGTATGCCGCTAGAGTGAGAGAGACGGAAGATCGGTCCACTCACTCGAACGCTATGCCTGCCTCCGCTCGTGAGGTTTCCGCGTGACAAGTTTCACGGAATGACTGGCAGCGCTCGAGATGAGACGGGAGATCGGTCCGTCTCTCTCTCGTTATACCTGCGATCGCGCTCGTGAGGTTTTGGTGTGACACAAGTTTCTGAACATGTCACCCGACTAAAACGATTTTAAAGACGTTATCACGTCAAAAATATTATTTTTATGTTTTCTTTTGCACATTTTTAAATGTAATTACAGACAAAATCTATATTAGATCGTTTAATTCTTAAGATAATATTGGTCATACCTTGGACCAATTCCGCGGTGAGGGCGATGAGTCTGTAGAAGGAGAGCCTTCTGGAATATTCTGGCCAAGGCAGCCTGTCGGGAGCTTTGTCGTATTGTCCAGACACGAAAGGCAGTACTTAGAAACAGACAGAAAAGTATTTTTAAGTAAGGCAGACCCTGGCTATAGCTGGGAAAATTGCCAGGTAGAAGAAGAGATAAAAGTATTCTTTGTTTTATTTCATTTCATTTGTGTGTGTATTAGTATGTGTGTGTATAATAATCTTATCAGATTGACCATTTTCGATGAGATTTTTCCCAGTTTTCTATGGACTATGGCCCAATACATGAGTATCAGTTTTTGTCCGAAATAAATTTAAGTTATTATTACTTTATTCTAAATAAAGTCAAATGATAATTAAATTTTATTTATTATAATAATATTTGGTGAAATAATACTCACGAATTGCGAACACAGCTACTTTTAACATTTTAAATATGTGTATATACTAGAATTTTTTTTTAATATCCGTATTAACACAATATTTGGAGTAATAAAATTCTCTTTAATGCAAGAATTTTCTTTTGTGTTCAATCTACCGTTTCATTAATACATAATTTTAAAATTAAATCTTAACTTAATAGTATGTGATAATAACATTTTGAATTAAAAATTAATCTGGAAGATATTTTTAAAATTTTGTTATTATATTTACATTCTTATTACGTATTGAAATTTTTCAGAAGATAATATATTTTATATAAACTATTATAATTCATTAAAAACTTGTTATATTGAACTGAAGGTCAATAATTTACTTGTTAGTTGAAACTTTTATAGAAAACTTGCTGAAAACGTTGGCCGATTCTCAGAGCTACTAAATATGCTCATAAAATTACATAAAAATCGGTCCAGCCGTTTCGGAGTTCTCTTTCTAACACTGCGACACGAGAATTTTATATATAAGATATATACGTATATATTTAGACCTACACTTACATACATATAAAGAATAATGTTTATTTAAAAAAATAAATTTTCCATATAAAGGACCATAAAATATATCGTTAGTTATAGTATTTTCATTTAATTACATAGTACGTGTTATATTTAGACAGAATGAAGGTGCTACTAGTGTTCATATTAGTTTGTGAGTATTTTATTATAAAAAAACATTTTAAATAAATATATATATTATTTATCTTATAGTAGTTTCGTTACAAATTTGGTAGAGAGAGGAGCTTGTATGGAGGTGATCGTTTAACGTTAGATAGGGTCCCTTAAACCTACACCTGGGACACAAGTACCAGTCACTGTTGAAGCTCCTCTCACTACAACGATGGACCCGACACACGCACCGTGAATACATGGAATGATGAGAGGATTCGTCTCTAATTTAATTAAGATATTATCAAGTTTAATTTATATAGATTTTTTATATATTTTTATCCGGTAAATATAATTGCAAGCAATAATAATAAACGAATTGTACACTTAATATTTGATTGTTTGTGAGACCTGACCAAGATGTTTCAAGATTAAGGAAACCAGGTAAAACTGATGATTTGAGGGTAAAAGATGATTTTGTATATCATGACCATATTACGACAAATAATCAAAAAGTCCATTTTTGTATAACTGTAGTAACAAAGTATTCTTATGACATTTTTATTTTCACTGAATACGTGTAAATATTTAAAAAAATACGTTAATATATACAGGGTGACTGGTGAATTACTATCGATATTTGAGGACGTGATATTTGACGATCATATATGACAAAATAAAAATTTATATAACATAAATATTAATAAACTTCTAAGTAAAGTTAACCAAAAGTTATGTAATTAATTACGCATCGTGTGAACACCCTACAGATTAGGTATACACACACACTCACACAGACGCGGCGGCGGCGTAGTGTTGTATCAGCACGACGCCGCACGCGTCCACACTTGAACACTTGGAACGTGTGCACACTTTATTTATTTATACGGAAATTTTGTCAAAAATTAAGTGCCTATTTTTTTTTACATAATTCGAATGAGAATCATGTACCGAGTATTCTCCTTAAATATTGATAGTAATTCACCAGTCACCCTGTATATGAAAGATGATAAATAATAGGACCAACTGACAGACATTCACATCTCGTCTTAATGATCACGGTTGATGAAAAGTAACAGAAATTTTAGGAGTATGTAGTTTATACAAAAATAAAGCACGCATAGTATATACGAAAAATATTATTTTAATTTAAATAAAACTCGAAAATTTGAGTTCTCATTATATATTATTATAAATAATTCATTAGAATTAGTTGAGTAGCATTATCTCAACGGGGAATGAGACAAACAAAAAAATATTTCAGATTCAAGAACTGTTTGCCAGTTCCCACCCAAGGTACAAAATAGAGAAATGATGGACCAAATTGAAAAAATAGCGAAATTAGTTGGCGATATTATACAAGACACTAATTGGAGGATATCCATACTTGACACAATGCAGAAGGAAAACTCGGATAATGTGCATTTCGAAGTTGGTTATTTAACACAAATTATACAAGACAGATATAGACGAATGGTAGACTTCTATACTACATGTAGAGATAACATGAAGAAGTTTTACATCATGGAACACATTATATACTTGCACGATGTGGAATATATATACTGGGAAATTACTCACATAACGAATATGCTACACGAAATAGAAAGGAAGTATAATTATGTAGATACGACTACGTATAAGTATGATTGGGACCGAACCGATTATGGAAATATGACGGAGACTTCCAAGGATAAAGAGGAGGATATTCATGTCTCGATTTTTACCAAAGCGAAGAAGAAGAGCAGATTTGTTATGGATAGGTATATTAAAGAAGGATGGTGGTCTACTAAGAGGATCAAAAAGAAGAACCCATGGCCCTTGGACTATGGTTGGGACCAGGGTATTGAGAAGTGGTGGTAGATGGGAAATAATATATATATATAAAGAACACTTGGAACGTGTCCACACTTTATTTATTTATACGGAAATTTGGTCAAAAATTAAGTACCTATTTTTTTTTACATAATTCGAATGAGAATCATGTACCGAGTATGCTCCTTAAATATTGATAGTAATTCACCAGTCACCCTGTATATATATACTAGCTGACCAGGCAAACGTTGTTTGGCAAAATATAGGGTTTGGCGATAAAAAAGTAAAAATGTTGAGTTATATGTAGTTTTTAATGGCAAATTATAAAGAAATATAAACAAAAAATTTGGGGTGAACAACCCTTATCATTTAGGCGTATGAAATATAGATAGCAGCCGATTCTTAGACCTACTGAATATATATAAAATTTGGTTAAAATTGGTAAAGCTGTTTCGAAGGAGTATGGTAATTAACATTGTGACATGGAAATGTTATATATTCGATATATGTATATATTATATAATATATGTTTTTGAAAATAAATTAATTTTAATCATATTTTGTGTTATAATCTATTTTAATTTTAATTTTAATTTTACAATATTATTCCTCCATTTTGTCTTACACTTTTGGCGAAATAAATTATCTGAGCAGATTTTTATTTTGTGTTCTTATGATTAGATTAGACAAGTCAGTAAAGTTTTTACAGATTTCGATAAAATCTCTATTTTATCGTTTGCATTTGTTTTAATATCAATACAAATATACTATAATCAAACCAAAAATACTATTTTTATATTATCTTAATTGTTTTCGGCAACAGAAATATTTTATCTATCGACTATCGCAAGAGAATTATTTCATTTATCGAAATACAAAGTGTCTTATGTCTCTTGAATAGAAATATAAGCTAGTAGAGTACTAAATTTCCTTTATATCTATCCAGTAATTTCGAAGATTATTAGGTACAAACACACAGACAGAAAGAACATTAAATATTCAATTTTTGCTCTATATTATGTGTCACTATAGCTTTATTTCTATCCGTTTTTCATTGCACAAGAAAGACCTATATAGTTTTGTATACGTACAAAATAGAAATTAAATATTCACTATATTCTATATTAATCAATTAATTATTTTCCACGTTCAGTTTCAGATCTCTCCAACACTCTGAAGATCCTTCATCCACAAGACAGCATTATAAACGAATTATCTTGGGGCACAAAGATAAGGATATTGAAAAAATATCCCCAAAAACCTGAACGTAGAGTCGGCTTGTCCTACTTAAGAACAGCTGAAGACACTACAATCCATTCCATGTCAACTAAATCCTTGATGTCACCAATCAAAAACGAAGACAGCAGCATGAAAATGAAGCTGTTTCGTCTAATGTACGAAGCTGTCAGGGACAGTGAGCTAAAAGTAAAACGAGCTGAACTAATCCGATCATATTACTCAAATTACTCAACATTCGAAATAGGTTTTCTTATCGGAGATATTACTGATAAGTATAACATAATGACAGACATAAGTTTGACGTTAAAGAAACTCTACAAAGAATGGAAACCAATGGAACATATCAACGCGTATGAGCAAATCGCTAATAAAGGTATCGAAATCGGACATCTGATAGACATGATAAAAATTATTAACAAGAGAAACGGTTGAAATATACAAATAAATAAATATATATGTATAAAAATGTAGTTTTTTTTTAATATAATTTGTATAATACCAATTACAATATATATTAAATAAAGATGACAAAGCATTAACAAGTTAGTTAATATTTTTGACAATTTCGTTTTGTTTAAAAATAAAATATTTTAATTTTTCTTTTAATTTAAGTAAAAATTTAATTATGAATGGAAAATACTAGTTTTAGATATAAACAATAAATTTATTATTATGTACAGATGCAAAATGTTGCTAGAACGATAATTATTTTTTCAATTATACATTTTTAATTGCTTGTAAAACATTAATTATTGAAACCCGATGATATCAAATTCAGTTATTGAAATAATACAAATATGTTTAAATATATTTTGTTTCTATATGTTGGTAAGTGAGTTTTTTATTTTAAGTTGGCATAACGATAGAAATTGTTGTGGTAGAATGAGTAGAATTGAGAATTCAAAGAAGAAAATGACAGAAATATTTGTTACTAGCTTTCCGCCCGCAGCTTCGCCCGCGTGGAGTTCGGTTGTATCGCATTTCCAAGAGAACCTTTCAAAAGTCTGGAATAAAAACTATCCTATGTTCTTTCTCAAGGTCTACTCTATGTCTGTACCAAATTTCATTAAAATCAGTTCAGTGGTTTAGACGTGAAAGCGTAACAGACAGAGTTACTTTCGCATTTTTAATATTAGTAGAGATGTAGACTTCGGTGTTGACTATTAATATGGAATAATCATAAATTTTTTCAATATTATAAAAGTAAGCAGGTTAAACATTAATGAAAGTCCAAATCATTAGTCTTTTTAAATAAAATTAATAAAATTTGCAGCTCAATGATTATTAAGAACAAAATAATGGATCCTTATAGTATGTCACATTTTGTTATTAAAAAAATTAAGCAATCAAAAAGCAAAAGCAACTGTAGGTTCTTTTCAAATTGCGTTATGCAGAGAGAGGAGCTTGTACGGTGGAGGTGATCGTTTAACGTTAGATAGGGTCCCTTAAACCTACACCTGGGCCACAAGTACCAGTCACTGTTGAAGCTCCTCTCACTACAACGATGGACCCGACACACGCACCGTGAATACATGGAATGATGAGAGGATTCGTCTCTTAATTTAATTATTATATGAAAAAGGTTATATTTACCAAAAATGTGATGAATACCAAGTAAATCTGAAGCAAAGTGTCCTTGTGGTAATTGTTTTTTGAATATTGTCACTGTATTTATTAATCTGAAATATTTAAAATTGCAATTATTTGATTGTAAAGATGGCAATTTTAATTAAAATTATATTTATGAGGATATAAGTTTAAATTGAAATAATAAAATAACAATATTGTACATATCGTGCGCACATTTTTAAGCGGGCTTTTCCTCTTATCCCTACTTATCCCTACTTATCCCTATTATATATTATAAATGCGAAAGTAACTCTGTCTGTTACGCTTTCACGCCTAAACCACTAAACTGATTTTAACGAAATTTGGTACAGAGATAGAGTTGACCTTGAGAAAGAACATAGGATAGTTTTTATCCCAGACTTTTGAAAGGTTCTCTTGGAAACGCGATATAACCGAACTACACGCGGGCGAAGCTGCGGGCGGAAATCTAGTTTTATATAAAGAAAGAAATTCAAGAACAAAGAACAGTAGTAGACGTACCTTCCCGCTTCGTTAGGAAATCGTGGTACTACTGAAGTGAAGCGCTTCATCGTTTTCTTTGGACTGTTTTTTGAAACCATTTCTCCATTTCCGGACCTAAAATTAATGTTGGTGGATCGATCTAAATATTTTTATAAACTCACTCAATATAACTGGTGTATATAATATAAAACCTCCAGTCGATCGTAAATTCTGTTCAATATATTACCTAAAGATATCAACAAAGCTTCAATGATTTAATTATTTAAAACCATCTTAAAACATTACCTAAACTTGCAGTAACGCCATCTATTATCTGTCAACGGCACTACGACCATCTTGAAGACAGGGCCGCAAGTACTGACAAGGAAAGAGTTAAGGAATTCATAAGGGTTTTGCTGGTGGAGTCAAAATTTAAAATTAACCAAATAGACTTTATAAGAAACATGTTTGCCAACACAGCTGGCTTCCAAGTGGGAACTATTATTGGTAAAATTACAATTACAATAAAGATATTATTGGTAAAATTACAATTACAATAAGACTATTAACTCACAAGCGAAATAATTTACGAATATAGGATCGTTGTACAACGAGTTTTGAAAGTTTAAAAGCATTTTACAGAGTTAATTATAATAAATATGAGTATAGATTAAATATTCACTTATTGGGAGATAATTTAAATTTCATACTGATTACCCATAAATATGCCTGAAACTTTTACGCCCAATTTTACTAATATAACGCAGAATCAAATAGTTTCACCTTATTAATCTTCCTGGCTATTCCCAGCTTTAGCCAGGGTCTGCCTTACATGTTGTGAATAGTTTTGGCTAATTGTTTTTACGACCGGCCACCTGCATGACATCAACCCTCTTTGGGAAACTTTCAACTTAGGAATTAATTATTTCACTGAATCTAACTGTATATACATATAATACAATAATATTGAATTAAAATTATATTTGTCTTTTCAACCGTAATAACGTGTGACTGACTGATCTTTCAGTTAAGGTTAAGTTATTAGGTGACAGATGAAAAAATACCTATATATATAACGGGTGTCCCAACAAGAACGCAATTTTTAACTTTGGCTCCATTTTAAGTGCCATTGTTTGACATTTCAACAATTGTTATTATTTGCTTGTAGAAGGTACAAGGTTTGTAAAAATGGAGCGCTACACGAATGAACAACGCATTTTCATTGTAAAATTGTTTTACCAAAATGGTTAAAGTTTTGCGGCTACAGTTCGCAAATTACTCAAAAAGAGTCAACTGTAAAGAGATTAATGAATAAATTTGCCGAAACTGAGTCTGTTAGTGATGTAAAGACGACAACAACAACGCAAACAGTTAATGGTGTTCGATATCGTGAAATGATTACCAGTTTTTTCTTGCCTAGAATCGAAGAAATGAATGTGGACGGCATGTGGTTTCAACAAGTCGGCGCCACATGTCATACAGCCAGAGAAACAATTCAATTGCTGCATCAGTCATTTCCTGGTCATGTTATTTCTCGTTTTGGAGACCAGAATAGGCCGCCTAGATCGTGCGATTTAACACCTTTAGATTATTTTCTTTGGGGTTTTTTGAAGTCGAGGGTTCACGCGAATAAGCCGACGACGACTCAAGCCTTAAAAGAGGAAATTGGACGCTGTATTAATGAAATACCGCAGTATTTATGCAAAACGGTCCTAGAAAATTTCATTCAAAGTTCGCGCGTGTGCCTGCAAAGCCGCGGCAGCCATCTACACTATATCTTGTTCCATACATAACCTCATTCTATCTACTTTACGATATAATAAAGTATCATGATATTTTTTTTTATATCAGTGTTTTATTTAAAATTTAAAAATTGCGTTCTAGTTGGGACACCCTATATATGTATATATATATATATAGGTATTTTATATATATATATATATATTATACACAATACTATTACATATATGTATATTATACACAATGACTTTGGTTTTAATTTATAATTCCCATATTTAAGGCATTCCTTCGGCCACAACCAAAAAGTTAATTTTAGTGAATGGTTAAAGAACGAAATGAATGTACGAACGAATGATTATATGAGGAAAAATAAAGTGAATGAACCTAAACAAAACAGAATTTGGTATAACATGAGCAGTGGTCATGTATACAAAATGTCTTTAAAATAAATAGCTTATTTGTTAAAAAAATGTCTCAATCAGTTTCATGTGCGCAAAATACCAATAATAATTGTTATTATCATCTATAGTTATTCTATGATAAACAAATGAGTATAGTTTTCGGACTTTATACTTTCCTTGCCTTATCCTACACATTTTTTTTCTTGGCAGGATTTTATTTCAGATTTTTGCTCAATCACTATCGTATATTAGAAATTAGTTTTGATTTCCGAGCATCTATTAACTAATAACACCGCCTTTATATTGAGGTGACAAAGACTGATATTTTAATTCAATTCAAAAAGATATTCCAATGGTTTTATTTTGCCTATTTATATAGGAAAAATAAATTAATTAAATTCAAATTCGAAAGTTAAAAAAATACATTATGTTATATTTATAGAATATTTAGAATTTTGCTTCTAAAATAGTTTAAGATTACTATAGGTGATTTTACAGAGAAATACATAAGCTATAGAGAGTCGTAGCTTCAAATTATAAATTAATTTAAAGATTTATCTTCAAATGTAATCATTAAAATACAAATACATTATTATAGTAGAATTCCCAAAAGAGGGTTGATGTCAGGCAGGCGGCCGGTCGTAAAAACAGTTAGCCAAAACTATTCACAACATGTAAGGCAGAACCTGGCTATAGCTGGGAAGTTGCCAGGAAGAAGAAGACATTAATATAGTAGACATTTCCAACTCTTAACAGGTACTATACGAGAGAAGTACAAGACTATGTTGATAGTTTACAAGCAGAAAGAAAATAAGTTTCTGAAAAAAGCTGATCTCAAACTGCCAAGAGTCAATGTGAGAAGACCTCTTCACTACTACCTGAGGTTGGTAGACTATCATCAATAACATACACTTCATACCAAAAATACGATAATTTTCCTCACTTAAAACTATTTCATATATATAGAGAATTTCTTTAAACAATGAAACTAATATTTTCGGATTTACTATGTACGCGATTTTTTATTTATTTTTGATTATAAACTACATACTTCCGACGTTTCGGTTACTTTACAGCAACCGTGATTAAGACGAGATCATCTCGTAAATCGATAAAAGAAATATCGCGTAGTATATCCGAAAATAAATAAATATTAGTTTCATTTAAATGAATACTCGCGAAAATCTTTGATCTCATTATCGTAGGTACTTTTCAAATCGTGTTAGGTAGAGAGAGGAGCTTGTACGGTGGAGGTGATCGTTTAACGTTAGATAGGGACCCTTAAACCTACACCTGGGTCACAAGTCCCAGTCACTGTTGAAGCTCCTCTCACTACAACGATGGACCCGACACACGCACCGTGAATATATGGAATGATGAGAGGATTTAAATTATAAAACTGATCTCATTATAATCTTCTAATATGTATTTTTTTATACTATTCTGCATTAAATTGATATGTATGTACATATATATAAATTTTCTATTGTTACATATTTGTTTGAATGCTTATTTAAGTATATATATATATATATATATATATATATATTCTCATTCTATTCTTTATCTGTACTTACACCATAATTTCTGTTATTCTAACGGATTTTTAAGTTTTTTGTGCGTCAAATATCTCTTATCCCATTTTATATATTACTATTTTTGGTAGATTAACATAAAAAAGTCTTACTTCGAACCGAGTATAGTTAACCGCAAATATATATATTTATTCCAAAAGAGGGTTGATGTCAGTCAAGCCGCCGGTTGTAAAAACAATTAGCCAAAACTATTCACAACATGTAAGGCAGACCCTGGCTAAAGCTGGGAAATTGCCAGGTAGAAGAAGAAAATACATATATGTATATACAAATTGCACCACATTTATTAAAAAGTTGAAATAAACTTTGAAACTGCCTAAAGATTTCTTAGAATATGTATTAAAAGACGCAAATAAGCCTCACATTTGGTTCCCGGATCATAAAAAACAATATATTTACATAATAAACGTGTTTTATATATTATTATACATAAATAGGAAACATAATTTGATTAATAATAATATTTTCAAGGATGGAGTTATTAAATAGACTAGAGATTGAAATCGACAGATTGGTGGATGTTCTAGAAACGATAGCTCCTAAATCGTCATTCAAATTGCCTATTTTCAGAAGATTCAATCGAAGAACAGGTAAAATTATATACTAGTTTTCACCCGCGACTCCGTCTGCGTAAAAGTATAAATAAACAAAATATTATAAAGAAACTTTTAAAAGCCACATCGCGCCCGCAACCCACTAGGGCGTGATAACTGTTAACTTTGTTATTGAGATAACAAGTACCCTAAGTTACTCCTTATTGCATCAGCTACATGCCAGTAAAATTCCCGTCAGAATCGGTCCAGCCGTTACAGAGATTAGCCGGAACAAACAGACAGACAGACAAAAATTGTAAAAATGTTATTTTGATGTGTACACCGTATACATTTTCATAATTTTTATATGCATGTAGTAAAAAACTGTTATTTCAATATTACAAACAGACTCCAATTTTATTTAGTTTTGTAGATTAATTTCAATATATGTATTTCTAACTTAAAAAGACTTCTTTGTCCACACATAGACGTAGAATACTTTCAAACACAAAGAATACTTAGAAAAATATTAGTAGGTTTTATGTCCGTTTTCAAATTATTATTAATAAAAATAATCTATTATTTCAAATGTCAAAATTATTTTTGAACATCAGGTTTTATTACAAAACATGGTGCAATATTTTCGCTATAAGCTTTAAAATGTATCTCCATTGACACAAATCAACAAGTTGGTAATGATAAATAAAATTAGTTTTATTTAGCAAAAGATTCATCTAATTTAAAAAGCCACAAGTTTTGTGAGTGGTTATAATAAATAATAAAATCTCTTCTTATGATCACGGTTGGTGAAAAGTAACCAAAACGTAGGGAGTATGTAGTTAAAATAATAAAAAACGAGTAGTATAAATGAAATATTATTAATGAGATCTAAGATTTTCGAGAGTACTCATTTAAATTAAACATAGGTGTACAACTTTGCTTCCGCCGTTTTGCAATAGATGGTTGTAGCGGTAAGTGCTAGTCGAAATAAATAGATCGTAGATGTCATACAATAAGCTTAGGAACTTGTAAACATAACGCCATCGAAATATTAGTCGATTTATGTATTTATTTATTTTTGTAATATTTTCGTATGTACTAAGCGTTTTAATTTTTAATTATAAACTACATACTCTCGACGTTTCGGTTACTTTACAGCAACCGTGATCATTAAGACGAGATGTGTCTGTCGAGAGTATGTAATTAATAGTCAAAAATAAAAACGTATAGTACATACGAAAATATTAGTTTAATTTAAATATTAGCTCTATTTAATCAGTACTCGAGAAAGTCTTAGATCTCACAATATAATGAAACTCAATAATGGCTTTAATAGTAAGATTGTGAAGGCCGAAAAAAAAATTTAAATGACAGACAACGTCACGAGTGACAGCTAGTATAAATCTATATATATAAAAATGGATTGCTGTTCCTTAGTCTCGCTAAAACTCGAGAACAGCTGAACGGATTTATCTTATCATAGTCTTGAAATGTTCGTGGAGGTTCAGGGAAGGTTTAAAAGCTGAAATAAATTGATTCATTACTGGGAAAACCATAAAAACAGCCCTTTTCTATTTCCCATATAAACGTTTTTTTGACATTAGATTTGACAACTAACTAATAATATGTCAATCATTCTGTCGTACTTCAAAACACGGAAATTTATGGCTTACAGGTAAACTAAAAAATATAAATAAAAAAACGTAATAGATATTTCTTAATTATAGGGCGATACGGAGTTCGCCAGGTCTTCTAGTACAAAATAAAAATTAGGAAAACTATTACAAATAAACGCTTTTATTCCATTCGACAAAGTTCTTTGTTTTTACACAGTACTCAAGATTATAATTCGTCCAACAAATAATAATTTTGACATTGGCAGAAAAATCACGATTCTAGTGTGAATGAAGACATACTTAGATTAAAAAAATGGAAAAAAAATCGTCTAAATATTGTTTTAATACAATAAATAATTTGAATTCATTTATTGTGCTTCTATAGATAATATTTACAGTCTTCATTTTGTTTTCCAGATCACAATATGGCGGATATAATAAAATATAGAAATGATTTCTTCAAAAAACTGAATATAACAACCAAATTCAAAAACTAAGAAGATTACAAGATATAGATTATAATTATCTGGATTTATATGATAATCTTTTGTATACAATTTATAATTTTATTAATCAATCAATATATTATATAAATGTTATTATGTTTATTAAATATTCTTTTGTTTTAAAGTTAAAATCATACTTGAATTTATACACTCGTATTTAAGGGAATTCGTAAAAACTTGCTCATCTGTTATATAAGTGATTCTTTCATATTTTTATTATAAAATATTTAAAATAGATATGGGTCGTCTATTTTCTTTTTATTTGTAACTTTTTTATATTTACAGCAATACTTATCACTTGATTATTTGAAACTAATGTCTATATTTTAGTGAAAAAGCAATCTAATCGAAAAGGTAAGTGATTGTCGAAAAAATAAATAAAATATGAATACTTTGTCTGTAATTTGTAATATTTATTGCGTCTAGAGGTACTTTTACCAGTAAGAGTTAAGCCACAAAATATTTGATAGGAAGCATTTGTTTAAACAATATTTTTTTTGTTATGGTATGACAATCGATATTTCTTTTATACGTCAATTTGACAGACTGCGTCATTTAATGTAATCGTGTTCAAAAAAATAAAATAAAGAAGTAACTCGCCTTTATTAAAATAGACATATTTTTTTCTTGTTTCCTCCACAAAATATAACTCTCTCAACAAATAAAAACGTAGACATTAGCAGAATATTCTACAATTCCAGTATGAAGGAAGCCATAGCTTAAAAAATGTATTTGTACAGAAAGCAACTGTCAGTATTGTAATAAATTTTTCAAGTTCAAATTATGTGTTTATATTAAGGAAATTTCTCACTTCCTGCTTAATAATAAAACCATTTCAGAAATATTATTTCATACGATCTCTTAACAAAAATACAAAGATATATATTTTCATTGAACGTTCCCTTTTTTGAGTTTGGTTAAAATTATAATCATTATAAAATAAATTCGTTCTCATAATAAAAACATGTTTTTTTTATTGTTGATTTAAAAGTCGCCTAAGGCCGACACTGTCACACTACGTTTTGACCGTCCTACGTTTTTTATTAACCTACATAAACTAAATACTAATAGAATGTAGTGAAGATATAAAGTTTAAGAAAACAATTATTACAATAATATTATTTAATAGCTCAAATTCTTCCAGTAATTTAGATGAAACTAATATTTTTGGATGTACGGATTATCACTTGCAGAGGAGATGAGATCATGTTTTCTACAAAGTAATCGAAACATAGATAGTTTAAAATAATAAAATACATCTAGTATCCGAAAATCTTCTCTATTTGCCGAGGGCGCGGGTTCGATCCTGGCAAGTACCAATGTGATTTTTCCGAGTCATATGTACCTTCTAAGAATATTTAGACACCACTGACATACGGTGAAGGAAAACTGGACTTATAGTTTCACAATTATAAGTTTGAAATCACCAACCCGTCTTGAGCAAGCGTGGTGATTAATGCTCAAACCTTCTCCATGTGAGAAGAGGCCTTTGCTCAGCAGTGGGCTCTGATAGGCTGATGAAATGAATCCTAAAATATAAGTTTCATTTAAATGAATACTCGTAAGCCTTACCTAAATCATTACCACCATTTATAATCAATTTCCCATCCATAATCCAAGGGCCACATTTTCTTCGGTTTTTTCCTGGTACTTTGTGTGAATTGGACTTCTCCTTTGAAAATCATATTTCTAATCTTCTTCATCTCCTTCTGCCTCTTCTTCTGCATCCAGAGGAGTAATTTCCTCTTATTTTCCATATCTTCGAAGTCCTCAGTGTAATTCCCAGCTCCGGGACCCGTTGATTGCGACAAGTATGCGTATTTCTTACTTATTTCGTTGATCATATATGTCAAATGCAGTATGTCTAGAAATATATTCTGCACCATTTCGAGTCTCTTCATAATATCGAAAACGGCATCGGATTTGAATATCATTGGTCTTTTAATGTTCCAAACCATTTTTTTATATCTATTGAGAAAGAAAACTTATAATAAAAATGATGTATAGTAATATTATTCTATTTAACTATTCTGTAATGATTTAATTTTGACAGTAATTAAATTTTTTATATTTTTATAAACTTCCAAAATGATTTTTATAGTGAAAGGTTGCGTTGAATTTTTAACGTTATTGGGTAGGGGGGTGATAAAAAGTGATAGATCGAGGTTGTGACTTGTAAGTAGTGTTAATAAAGTTTGTTTAAAGAAACCCTAAAAATATTCAGTAAAAATCAATTTTTACCCCTTTCTTTTTCCAGGACACTACTATTTACAGTTATTTATTTAACACAAATCTATCATATTAATCAATATTTCTTAAAAACAGTTCAAAACAAACAAAAACTTCCTAACATTCCATAATTGTTTGTTGATTCTGTGTATATATACATATATAATTTTACTTTACGTGTGTATATCACTGAAATAAACGGCTGGACCGATTTGAATGATAATTTCGAGCTAGTATAAGCTGTAAAGTTGAATTTAGTTCTACTCTATAGTTCCTATCAGCATTATCAACCTTTCTGCTGAAGGACCGGTAGCCGATGGAACAGACGAGTCCTTGAATTGAGATCACGAGTCGGCTGCAATAAGGTAAGCCCCCCTAAAAGGTAGTCTGACGGCCTGAAGATAGTCACTGGAAAGAATTGGATACGGAAGACGGAAGACCAGGTATTGTGGCTAAAATTGAGAGAGATCTATATTCAGCAATGTACCAAGATTGGCTAAATGAATGAAAATTACCTTTCCAAAACTTCCCCCACAACGTAACCGAGCTCAAAGTGCGGTGTTTCTTCGTATCTTATTCTTATATAAGTGGCAGCATCAATCCTTTCTTTCGTTCTCTGGATATAATTCCACATCAAATCTACCATCCTGTATGGCAGTCTGCGAGCGACGTAACGTAGCTCATACGAATTTTGGGAGTACGTTTTAGAACAGATATCTGTATGACAAATTATTAGATTTAAACTATTATTAAAACTATACTTCAAGGCTGTTTTAATATGTGAACTAGACTATAAGTGCATAAAGTGATGCTTTTAAGTTAGTTATAAAAGTAGTACCCCTACTAATATTATAAATGTAAGTAACTCTGTCTGTCTGTTACGCTTTCACGCTTAAACCACTGAACTGATTTCAATGAAATTTGGTACAGACATAGAGTTGACCTTGAGATAGAACATAGGATAGTTTTTATTCCAGACTTTTGAAAGGTTCTCTTGGAAACGCGATATAACCGAACTCCACGCAGCCTGAGAGCTAGTATTAAATAATCGTAATTTCTTTAGATGTATGGAGTTTACTACAGTAATGTGAAATACATTATTATTTAAAGTGCTTTTCAAATTCAACATACAAGTGAATATCCTCAAGATAACATTTGTACAAGCTTCTTCAATAGAATCCTTAGAATTCCTAATTTTTAAATCACACGATTTCATTAAATCTAAATGGAATAGAACTATTTTGTTTCATTTACGTAATTCTTAAAATCTCATTATAATACTCACATAATAATATTATAATCCATCCTCGCCAGAAAAACATTATAGCTGTTTGTTTTTAATTATCGAATTATCAAAGTAATTATTAAATGCATAAAATTTTACGAGAATATTCAGATATCCAGCACTCGACTAATATATGAGCTACATAATTGGTAAAACCCTGAGAAATCTTGAATTTGTGTGATAAAATGTTTTTTATAAGTCTAGTAGGTAATGTTTTTTCAAAATTCCAAAGAAATTTAGTACTGATAGTTATAATAAATATGTTATTTTATAAATATTATTATAAAAATTCACAGATTAGTTTCGGTAATCTTACTATTATCTTGAATTGTTATTAAGTCAAGTTTTTAACATAAATAAGTTTACACTATCACGTAAGTAAAACCCCTGGGAACTGGATGCCCAGGTTCTGGCGGAGGTGTACCACCAGCGCGCGCGAGATCGATCCCGGGGAACGAGTCCGGACCGGGATCGGGTGGATAGTTGGCGACGATCTGCGCGGTCGTCCTTGTTCCATCGGTGGAGGCGAAGGCTCTCTGAGCCAGTGGCCGGGTTGCGAACCGTGGAGGCTATTCGCCCGCTCCTCATGGAGTGGGTGGACCGCCGACACGGATCCTTGACCTTCCGGCTGGTGCAGATCCTCTCGGGGCACGGTTGCTTCGGGAGGTATTTGTGCCACATAGTCGGGAGAGAGCCGACAGCGACGTGTCACCACTGCAGTCGCGTGGAAGACACCGCTGACCACACACTGATGGAATGTCCAGCGTGGATATCCGAGCGGAGCCAACTCATCCGCGTGGTTGGCGCAGACCTTTCGTTGCCGGCAGTGGTCCAGGCCATGGTCGGCAGCGAGAGGGCATGGCAGGCGGTGGCCGACTTCAGCGAGAGAGTCATCTTGCAGAAGGAGGCTGCTGAACGAGTGAGGGAAGACGACCCCTCCTCGGCGCCGCTGCGCCGACGAAGGCTGGGTCGAAGGCAGCGGGCTTATGCTCGCGACCTGCCTCCCCAGTGAGGAAGCCTCCGGGCGTCGGCGGGGAACCGGCGTCCGGGTAACATAGGCTAGAGGAAGAGCGGCGTGTTTGGCGTTCCCGGCACGCTGCTCTTGAGTCGGAGGGGTGGTGTGGTCAGCCACTGATACCCCTGCCGATGGCGGAGTCCCCTTTCGGGACTCGTGCGTAGTGAGCGGAAGTATGGCTTGCCGTTCCCGCTCACTAGTCTACGCACAGCGCAGAGAACGCCGAGGTGGTTTAGTGGGTGGAAATCCCACATGCCCCTGTCGCGTTTCCCCCGCGGCAGGAAGTCTTTAAAAGATTCCCCTCGTAGAAAAAAAAAAAAAAAATCACGTAAGTAAAATAATACTAAGTATACAGTATCTAAAATTATTTAATACTTAACAAAATTTCTTGTTCATATTGAATAAATTAATAAATTTGAATATCCTTTTAATTAATTTAAATATCCATTAATGTTTAGATTTTATTTTAATTTACGATAAAATTTATCATGTACTAGAAGACCCCGCGAACTTCGTATCGCTCTATAATCAAGAAATATCTATTATATTTTTTTATTTATATTTTTGGAGTTTACCTTTAAGCCATAAATCTCCGTGTTTTGAAGTGCGACAGAATTATTGACATATTAGTTGTCAAATTTAATGTCAAGAAAAACGTTTGTATGGGAAATAGAAAAGGGCTGTTTTTAGGGTTTTCCCGGCAATTATTCAAATTTTTCTCACCTTTTAAACCTTCCCTGGACTTCCAGGAGTATTTCAAGACTAAAATTAGCCAAATCGGTTTAGCCGTTCTCGAGTTTTAGCGAGATTAAGGAACAGCAATCCATTTTTATATATATAGAAGAAGAAGATTATTTCCCTACGTATATTAACTGTAAGGACACTCATACTTTGCTAACACTACTTATCTTGGTTCAATTTGCTCATTGTGGATTAATTGTCTAACTAAAGCAAATATTGTCTGGATAAATATTAACTTTGTGTTGGGTCAAGAAACTTGTACTGATAAGGATTACTTTAAACATACATGCATCTATAAAATTTAACTAGAAGATGCATTTTCATATTTTTTTCTCTAATATAAATGAAACTGACTCAAAATATCTTTTAGAGACCTGAATGTATCTATCAATTAAGATTATCTGTTTAATTAAATATCAATTTCTATTAAGATTTATCACTAGTTGGTATAAAGAAAGTTTTATTAAAATCGCTTATACATACTCTATTCCCCATACTTAGTACTACATATAGCTATAAATACTAGCCTTATTACCTTATTTTTCTTGAAGTCTTCTTCATCTTGCAGCTACAAAAGGATCATCGAAAGAATCAAGTCTTCCTTGTAAAGTTTTCTGTGGTACCAATATTAATTTTATTGTTATTTGAATCTTAGGCTTGAAAAGAAAGTATCTGTTTTATTTACTTATTTTTATTTATGTGTGAAAGATGTAACAAGATCTATTTTTGAGAACTTAGGATGACTTGCATAGTAGCTTAAATGTATTTTTTAAATATATTTTTTATAAGAGACATCGGATTTAGAAATAAGGAAGAGTTTGTTTTAGCTTGGCCATACAATATTATATGTATATACTTATTATATTGCAACAGTTATAGATTAATAGGAAAGATATTACTCGTAGTATTTTGAGATTCATATTAAAAATAATCCGTAGCAAAATAAATAATTTTACTCATTATCTGCACAAAATCTAAAATTTAGGTAAGTCTAAAATTAATATTTTATTAATAAGAGCTTTTAAACAATTAATAAAATGGTTACATATACTTTAATAATTTTAATAATTAAACTATAATAACTATATATTATATGAAAAAAATTATATTAAGCTTAATTACTTTGAAAAACATAAAAAACTAGTATTTCTGTATCTAATTTGTCATTTATATATTCAACTATACATTTTATACCACAAAATAATTTTTGTTTAGTTTGGGTTATAAGTTTTTAATAAAAATCGTTTAGTAAGTACATAATTTATTTTTCTATTAAATTAATCGTGTCATTATTGAGAACCCTTCCACTATAATACATTGTTACATCAATTTGACGTAGCTCACGACTTTATAAGTTACAGATAACACATTGGTCCAATGCATTAAATGAAGAATATTAAATGAATTAAATGACGAACATTTCGACTCTATAGTCAAAGATAGCGTTTGAAAACGGATATAATGCAAAGCTTTTGATAAAACGAATATTAAAATTTGTATTTTTATATATATTTCTTTCAAACTACCCAACAACAGCGATTCATTTCGAAATTGGCGTTTTTTTATTAAAAAAACTTATGTACAATCAACTTTATACATTAAGTCTGGCGTAATACTATTTTAAGCTTGTCGCATACGATATTTTGTATACGATTCGGGCTTTTAATGTCGCATTCGATATATTATCGTTAGTCTGCCACATTATCTATGGTGACGTTTCTCTTCATCAACACATCTACAATCCTCGTTGATTGAATCTAGCGACATTAGACTTTCTTGTGAGGTCCTAAGACAGGCTCTGCATCTCGAGTCGTATGAGGTCCCGCTATGTGAATTCGCGTCTTCGGAAACTGATTCTAAAGATCTTAGACTTTCAACAGAGGTCAGTTTGTATGAACGTCTGAACTCAGCTATCTCCTCCTCACTCATATTTAACGCTAGCAGCGAATCTTTCGCCATTTTTCCAAGGCTGGACACCTTTTTCTTCTTCTTGCTTAATATAGAATCCATTTTTGTTAACGGACATGGCTTATTGAGACTTTCTGGTAATGATTTTGGACTGGAACCGCTTCTAGATCGTAATTTCGTTCGTCTCTCCGGTATGTCTCTAGGCGTGGTGCTTTCTGGTACTTTGAAAGCTATCGTCTTCATCTTAGGACTCTCCTTCTCTTCTATATTCTGCCTCTTCGTCAAATCTTCCAGCGAATTGGACTTCTTCATCTTCGCTCGCTCTGGTATGACTGGTGAAGACTTTCGTCCTTTGATTTCTACCGTGTATATCTCCGGTATCTCCAAAGCCTCGTCTAAAACTAATTCCGGTGATAGATCTAGCATTTCTTTAATCTCAGCATCCCGTAACTCTTGAGCCAGGGATCCTTCCTGCGATCTGTTCGCCAACACAGTTTCCGTATCCTCGTAATCTTGGTTCTCATATATCAGGTACGACAGCGCGTCCTTCCCAAGGTCAATATTCTCCATGACCTTCTCAACCTTATCAGCTTTATCATCGATGTACGCCAGCTGGATGACGTCATCAGCTGATACGTCGCAAGTTTCGTCTATATTCGCTATCGGCGCCATATCACTTTGAGTCTTCTTCTCGAGCACTTTAGTGTCACTTTTCTCTGTCAATGGATTCGTGACTTCCCATACTGTGTTGACGATCTGTTTGTTTTTTGCCTGTCTTTCCGCTACCTCCATAGCCATGGCTTTCGTCGCTATACTGGAAGTCAAAGTATTCTCCGGGCTTATATTTTCCTTAATGCCTCTAATCACTTTGCTAGGAAGCTTCTCGACCGTCTGTTCTACATCAGGGTTCGGTTTCTCCAATGAGTTCTCCGTACCGGATGATTTTAAAACAGAGGCGAATGTTCTTTTAACGTCAATTTTCTCTTCACTTTTCATATTATCGTCGTATACAAAATCGTTGGGCACTATGAGATCATCGCTCGGGTTCGCCGAGCTGGCGTCGCTTAAATCTAAAGTTTGTACTAATTTATCGGTGGTTACGGTAACTTTATCCGTGTTAGGAAACTGAAATTCACTTAGAGTGTTATCTGTGTCTGTGGAAGGTGTTTTGCTGTCGAGTTTCTTTGAGAATGATTCGTCTACGAACGAAACTTGAACACGTTCGGATAGCGTTGAATCTGTTGCATCCGATATGCTATCGTCATCGTTTTTCTCAGCCACACTTCCCCACGACCAGAAAGAGCTGGTCAGAGAAGAATCTTTCCTCGGAGGTGTTCCGGAGTTAGATTTCCTCTCATCATCACTGCTGCTTCTGGAGAACAAACTGCTCGGATGTTGGAAGAGGCTGAGCAACTTCTCCAAATTCCCCGGCAGCTTATATTCCACTTTTTCATCAGCTTTGGGCAGATGGAAGCTAGCTGATGGCGCTACCCATGATATTTTCCTCATCCGTTCTAAGCCCTTGGATTTCAAAGCGGGAACATCCAATAGACTTGATGTTCGCTTCGGTGTGACAGTATCCTGCGAATCCTTCCTTATAGTTTCCTTTAAACTCGAACTACAAGTTAGCGTGCCTTCGTTAGACGAACTATCTTCTTTCATTTCCGATGGGTTTTGTAAAGAATATTCAATCCCTGAATCCGCTGACGTCACCATGATTTTCTCTTTGGCGGATTCAACCGAACTGACACTCGCTTCTAAGCTGGATAGCGATCCGTGGATTTTCTTAGCGAATATGATCGGCGATACGCTCTCGTTGGAACTTATCGATACATTTAGGTTCACTGGTGTCACATCACTAGTCGATTCGACGCTGTTGTCTTTGGACAGATGTTTATCGACTATCAGCCTGGGTCTGTCAATGTTCAAGCTCTCCATAGAGCTGCCAGATATCTCCAAGGACGAGCTACTATCACAGAAGGCACTAACAGGTCTCCTCATGAGCCGAGACACCTCCAGGTCAGGGCTGTCGAGACTCGACTCACTCTTGTTCTTCTTTAACACTACGCTATCTCGAGCAGGTACATTGGTTACGTTTAAATCTACAACATCTACAACCCTATCATCATCTATGGCTAATTTATCATCCTTATATATATTATTTACATTTTGGTCGCGATGTACTTTGGTTGGACTATCTGTTTCGTTTATATCTCTACCCGTCTCGCTCGCACCTATACATATCGCTACACCCGTCTCTGTCTCACTGTGAGACATTTGTTCGTTCCTATCACTATATACTAAATCTATATTTTTATAGTCAGCACTATCACTAAAAACTTCGTTGTCCGAATCATTAACACTATCGTCACTAACTTGGTGTTTGACACCAAATCCGCTTTTCTCAATCACTTCGCACATATCTAATTCCTTAGCTGGTGTACACGATTGTTCCTTGTCTGTCACATCGTCAATAATTATCAAACTACCTTCTATATCTTTTATATCTTTATCTTTTAATATAACATCTTTTATGATGACCTCATCATAACTAAAGTCTGCCAGCATCTCAGTCTGTTTCTTATTCGTGATATCTTTATGTTCTGTGTTTATATTTTCAACAATATTCGATCGTTCATTTGCTTGTTTATCATGGCCACTATCGTCGATGTTTGGGCCAATCTTTGGGCCAATCTTTGGGCCAATCTTCTCACTTCTATCTGGTAGTGGTGACGGTGTTGGTGATGGCGATGGTGATGGTGACGGCGTGGTCGGTGGTAGCGTGGGGTTGTAAGTAGTGTCATAGTTCCTCGTCACTGAGAATCTTGATGCTGACTTCCTTGGCGTCTGTACTTGTGGTTCAACTACCTGTTCATGAAAAATATATCGTAAATATATTTGTTAGATAATGTGAACGCAACCTTAATTATTTTCTTTATGTTGTCTATTCTATTTTTCTGTTATGTTGACATTACTTTTTTTCACTTCTTTTAATGGTGTAGCTAATTAATTTTCTATTAATTGAATAAATACGTTTGTGCATTTTTATATCCGACAAGTTTTATTTCTGAATCAACCACAAATATCAACAATATATATAAAGGTAAGAAGGCTAGCTTTAGGCTTTTCTATCTCTCTTCTACCTGGCAATTTCCCGGCTATAGCCAGGGTCTTACTTGTTGTAAATGCCTTACTTGTTGTAAATAGTTTTGGCTATTTTTTTTTTACGATCGGCCGCCTGTCTGACATCAACCCTCTTTTGGGAATCAACATTAATCAGTGATGTCTAAATATTCTTAGAAAGTCTAAATATTCTTTAGGCTTTTCTATCTATATGTATAAATATGAATTTGCTGTTATTTAGTCTCGCTAAAACTCGAGAACGACTGAACGAATTTATCTTATCATAGTCTTGAAATGTTTGAAGGTTCAGGGAAGGTTTAATAGCTGAATTTTTTTTAATCTTCTCCAGGAAAACCCTAAAAACTGCGATATTCTATTTCCCAAACAAACATTTTTTTTGACATTAGATTTAACAACTTACTAATATGTCAATCATTCTGTCGCACTTCAAAACACGGAGATTTATGGCTTAAACTCCAAAAAAAATTAATTAAAAAATTACTTAAATGAAACTAATACTTTTCAGCAAGCGTGATCACGGTTGCTGAAAAGTAGCCGGAACGTCGAGAGTATGTAGTTTTCTAATCAAAAATAAAACGTGAAGTAAAATCCGAAAAATATTAGTTTCATTTAAATGAGTACTCGCGAAAATCTTAGATCTCCTTATAAAAAATTACTTATTTACAGATTGAGGCAGTACGAAGTCTACCGGGTCAGCTAGTACATTTTTATTTATATAGAAAAGCCTAAACTTGCCTACTACTTACTTTCCACTTACTCAATATATATGTAATAAAAATCCAAATAAGTCTTTGAAGATATAATTAGTTATTCACCTGACATCAACACTATCATATGGGAATATTCATCAAACAAAATATACATATAAACTATCAGTGCAGATACAGGTAACAAAAAACGACTGACATCAATAGCTATACATTTCTGTAACATTAAGTACACTTTACGAACCTGTACAACTTTAAATCTTGATGAAGTACACCTAGTTGGGGTAGTGGGGGTTGAATCTGACATCTCACGGTCTGGGGTCACTCGCGTCACCTGGAAATATTAATATTATACATGAGAATAATAAATAAATACAAAGAAACATCCAATTAATTAACATAATCACTGGAAGTATTCTTTAAAATTACTTTTGCTTTAATAACTATGCACATTTAAGTATTTGTCATATAGTTAGCTAGCTGCGCCCCGCGGTGTTACCCGCAGAATTCAGGGATGTAAAGTAGCCTATGTGTTATTCCTGGACTTCAGCTTCCTATATATTTTTTTTTATTAAAATCAGTTCAGCCGTTTGAGCGTGAAGTAACAAACATACACACACCACACAAACTTTCGCAATTGTAATATTAGTAGGATGTATGTGTGCTTGTGTTTGTCATCAATTTCGTTCATTCCTCCTATATTGTATGTATATAGAAAATTCAATAATGTATTTATTTATTTAATGTGAAAACGAGCAGACGGCCTACTTGGAAAAGGTAGGGGTGGAAATAAGTAAAAGGTAGGAAAGGGTGGCAACAGGAAAAGGGCAACCGTCTCTCTCACTCATCGGACGAAACACAGTCATTAAGGGCTACTTCATGCCGATCTTCTGTGAGAGGGTGGTACTTTCTTGTTCAAGCCAGCACATGTTCGAGCTGTAGTAACTTGACCACAGCTAGGCTCTACCACCTCTATACCATCACAATCTATATACTTCACACAATACATATGTTATGAAGTGTTCCCGGGAACTTCACGGACTGAACAATACATTATATACTATGTATTATTATAACACAAGCTTACATGGTTTGAAGAACATCCATATATCGTCTCCAAGTTTCTCGTGTATGTATATATGTATGTATATATATACTAACCGAAAACCGTGACCCAGTAGGTGTAGGTACAGGGCTACCAGCAGGCGAGGGGGCTGGAGAGGGCGCAGGGGAGCGGAGACGGACGCGACGATCATCATCAGCTGCTGGAGTCTGAGAGAGATAGATATATAGATATAGATAGAGATAGACAGAGATGGAGATATGTCACGACATGATAGATATAGGTACTTGAGATATATGACCTTTGTAATGGTGTGAATAAACGGTTAAACTGAGTTAAATAGTAATAACAAAACTACTACTACACATTTAGGTTTAAAGAATTTATTCTCAAAAAGACGTAGTCACTTACATGAGAACATACATACAAAAGTAGTCGCCAGATTATTTGGAACTCAAAGATATTATTACAAGTGTAAAATATGTTGTGAAAGTTGTGATTTAAATTCGTTAATTGAGCTTGCATTTCTTATAGTAGACGGTAATTTGTTGTAAAGTTGTGCTCCCTCAGATGTAATATCCTTTTTTGCAAATTTTGTCCTAGTCTTTGGGAGATCTAGTAAGCTAGGTCGACGGGTGCTACGCGTACTGACTTGTTACATAAATGACAATTTAGGGTGTACAGATTCATTAATAATTAAATATTAGTAATGCTTGTTCTTCAGATGATATCCAAGTTTCTGTGAGCAGTATAGCATGAATAGTGGTTGGCATAGCTTTTGAAATACAATTTAATTCATCTAATTTGCCTGTTTCTTTATACTTCGTGCGTTCAAGTTTAAAAACTATAAGAGCGACTTTCCAGTGTGTAATTCTTGATAGTCGTTAACTAGTTGGTAATTTATAGTATTAGTTGTATTTTTATCTAATGGTGGTGATTGGAGTTTTTTGGAGGGTTTTTTACGATGGTTGGTGTTAAGTTAAGATGGTTGGTTAAGTGTTATTTCTCCTCTTTTAATTCGTTGCTGCAGTTCCTCTTTAATATCTAAATAGTATTCTTGCTGGGTTTCTAGTAAACATCTCTTTTAAAAGATAAATTATCCTTTGTGCATCACATTTTTTTTTTATAATAATGTAACTATTTCCACTTTTAGTAAATAAATAAAAGGTAACTACGGTAATATATATGTATGTTTACCTTAATCATAGGCACCGTATGACACGTCAGACTGATCTTCCTCATGAGCCTATCGGGGGCCGCGGGTTCGTTCCCGCGACACACGACACGAATGTCGCGCAGAAGTCGCGCGACTGTCGCAGCCTCCGTGCTCTGGACGCCCGTCTGTGATTCCTGGAAGAATTTAAGGGACATTGTTAACTATATATAATATAATTTCTATATATATGAATCGATCCTGACCCGAGCAAGTACCAATGCGATTTTTCCGAATCATATGTACTTTATAAGAGTATTTAGACATCACTGATTAATGCATTCCCAAAGAGGGTTGATGTCAGGCAGGCGGCCGGTCGTAAAAACAATTAGCCACAACTATTCACAACATGTAAGGCAGACCCTGGCTAAAGCTGGGAAATTGCCAGGTTGAAGAAGAAGATATATGTATGTATGTATGTAGATTTTTTCTGTATATGTGTACGTCATTAAACTTCTAAACAACTGATCAATTTCAATGATTTTTACATGCATTTGGTTTATCCAAAGTTAATTTAGATTAACAAATAATTCCAGTAGATGGTACTCTCTTTAACCAGGTTATTTAAAATGAGTCTGCAAGGTAGCTTACTATATGTATTGCTTTAAAATATTTTATATATTTATTAATGCGCATCACTTGTGATCAGTTATATTTAAGATGAAATTTTGGACAAAAAACAATATTTCTTTATATACTAGTTTATGCCCTCGACTTCGTCTGCGTTATTTTCAATGAAACAGAAATATATATCTGACTGGACTAACTCTATTCCTACTTAAAAACAGTAGATAAGATTTTGGATTTGAGCAACTAATTAATTATTTTATTTCTTTTTCAATCCAATAAAATGTATCCTATGTCCTTTCCTTGTTTTAATCTATCTCTCCACCAATCTTCATCCATATCCGTACAGCCGTTAGAGTTATAAATAGTGTAACTAACACGACTTTATATATATATATATATATATATATATACAGGTAGGAATTCCTTGGACAAGAAACAAAATAGAAGTAGTGCGAAAAAGAAACATTGACACATTTATTGGCTCTACGACATCACTCAAGGGTTTTGACTATTAATATTGTGTTAGCAATTAGTTTAAGGCTATTTTAATGATATTACTCTAAGTACTTTATTTGTTGTTTAACTGGAGTTAGCAGTTCATAATTTTATTTCTTAATTTACCTTTTATATTTATTCATTTTAATTAATATTGCATAGTCAAATTGTAAAATGTCATATGTACTGTTATTTTATTTTTAAAAATTCGAACGAAGTTCCTTAATAATATAACATAAATATCTCTGTATATATATATATATATATCTTACCGCTGGATCGTCCAGGTCTATTTGTGTGATAGACGCATGTTCTTTAACAGCCGCCAGTATCGCTTGTAGTCCCGCTACACCCAACTTGTTGTCCCGGAGATCCAACCTCTGAAATCATCATACATTACATTATTTAGTGTTTAATTTATTACTCACTAGCTTTCCGTCCGCAGCTTCGCTTCGAGTTCGGTTATATCGCGTTTCCAAGAGAACCTTTCAAAATTCTGGGACAAAAACTATCCTGTTCTTTCTCAAGGTCAACTCTATTTCTGTAGTAAATTTCATTAAAATCAAAGTTCAGTGGTTTAGGCGTGAAAGCGTAACAAACAGACAGAGTTACTTTCGTATTTAAAATATTAGTAGGGATTATGAAAAAAACTACTTTAAAAGTAGTTAATATATACAGGGTAACTGGTGAATTACTATTGATATTTAAGGAGAATACTCGGTACATGATTCTCATTCGAGTTATGTAAAAAAAATAGGTACTTAATTTTTGACCAAATTTCCGTATAAATAAATAAAGTGTGGACACGTTCCAAGTGTTCCAAGTGTGGACGCGTGCGGCGGCGTACTGATACATCACCACGCCGCCAAATATCACGTCCTCAAGTATCGATAGTAATTCATCAGTCAAAGTAGATACATGGAATTATACAATGATAGTTACAAGGAATTTGCACTATCACCGACTATATATATTATTGTTTATGTTATCCAACACTATTTAAGATAGTATCTCGATTTAATATTTTATTTATTTATTTATTTATTTTGAGGACCACTAGCAGCTACTACATATTTAAACGTCGAATACAACACAATTAAACGGAAACAGGTAACATGTGTAGCTTTTTAAAGTGGCCACAACGATCACATTGTTTTAAAAATATATTAATACATAATTATATCGAGAAGATCTAAATAATAATAATAACAATAACAATAATAATAATAATAAGTAAATTCATTCATAAAAATTACTAAAAATATTCAAAACAATACAAACTTAAATTAATACAAATAACAATTCAACATTTATAATTAAACATTTATAATTTATTTATTTAATTATTTATTTGCATCTCTCAATAATGTCAGCGCCCGTTTACGAAATGTCTTTTCAGAGTTATTAAAATATAATAAAGTAAAAGACTTTTAATTCTCAAGAACAAAAGTGATTAACTGAGTTAGACAGTGGTGGCCTAGTAGTTAAAAGGTCCGCCTAGTGTTTATAGAATAAATGAAATTGAATGTGCTAATTAATTACGTCACATAACTCAATAAATATATATCGTTGTTATAATGACTTTGAATCCTTACTAATATTATAAATGCGAAAGTAACTCTGTCTGTTTGTAACGCTTTCACGACTGAACCAATGAACTGATTTTAATGAAATTTAGTACAGATATAGAGTTGACCTTGATAAAGAACATAGGATAGTTTTTATCACAGACTTTTGAAAGGTTCTCTTAGAAACGCGATATAACCGAACTCCGCGCGGGCGGAAATATATATACTTTTTATACCATCAACTGTTTTTATCTTTTAGGATATATGAAAATGTATATAGTTATTATGTTTCTACACTAACCTGCAGCCTCTCCCCCCCTCGTATAACGTCAGCGAGGCCCCGTGCCGCGTCCGGGCCCAGCCGCGCCGCCTGCAGGCCCAAAGACACCAGGCCTCGCCCTACTAAGGACCGGACGGCCTCTGAACCGAGGGCGTTACGACCCACGTTCAACACGCATAGGGACTTTGATGTACGCTGGAACGTAGAGTAATATATATATTTAGGCACACAAACAGAATATAATCCTAAATAAACAGAAAATAATTGATTATATTCCTAAGTATGTGTACATGGCATAATCATTACAAAAACTATATTTTTGTCAGGTGCTAAATTATTTAGATACAATTTAAGACTACAATTAATATATATATATATATATATATAGTGAAATAATAATCAATTATTAAACTATATTTATAATTTCAATTGTAAGAGTATTGTTAATTTGACTTTGTTATTTTATTAAACAGTTAATTTTAATCTGTAAAACACTTAAAATGAGTATATGATTATAATTGCATGTTTAATTGAATAGTTAACTTTAATTTATAATTTAAAACTAATATTTGCATGCCTTATGGTAGAATATACCTGGAATTTATATTAAAATCTATTTATACACCTATATTCTGTACCTACATTCAGAGCAAATAAATATTATTAATCTATCAACCCTCAAGCCACGTATATAAGGAGCGCCGTTACTGACAATCTGACACTTTATGTTCTCAACTATTGTCAAGAGCTCTGAAGAAGCTCTGAAGAAGCTCTGAACTAATTAGTCTTGAATATTAATAAATTATCCATTGTTTTTAAAATCACAACGTGTATTCATTCAGTTTTTGCCCGCGACTTCGTCCGCATTAATTTCTTTATTAGTAATATATGTATAGCTGACCGGACGAACTCCATTCCGCCTTAGAGGCATTAATAACCAGATATTGAAGTTTATCAACATTTTAATTTTCTTTTTCGATCGAACAGAATCAGATATCCTATATGAGTCACACTTCTACAGCCGTTCTTGAGTTATAAATACATAGTGTAATGAGATCTAAGACTTTTGCAAGTATTCATTGAAATGAAATGAACACATCTCGTGTGTCAGTGATCACGGTTGCTGTAAAGTAACTGAAACGTCGGGAGTATGTAGTTTTTGATAAAAACTGAAAATCGCGTAATACATTCGAAAATATTACATAGTTTCATTTCTATAAATAGTGTAACTAATCAACCAACCAACAAGTTCCTTTTATATATACAGGGTGACTGGTGAATTACTATCAATATTTAAGGAGAATACTCGGTACATGATTCTCATTCGAATTATGTAAAAAAAAATAGTTACTTAATTTTTGACCAAATTTCCGTATAAATAAATAAAGTGTGGACACGTTCCAAGTGTTCCAAGTGTGGACAGTGCTGTGCAAGTGCTGATACAACAACACGCCGCCGCGCGCGAGTGTGTGTGTGTGTGTGTATACCTAATCTGTAGGGTGTTCACACGATGCGTAATTAATTACATAACTTTTGGTTAACTTTACTTAGAAGTTTATTAATATTTATGTTATATTAATTTTTATTTTGTCATATATGATCGTCAAATATCACGTCCTCAAATATCGATAGTAATTCACCAGTCACCCTGTATATGTATGTGTATGTATGTGGGTGTGTGTGTGCGTGTTGGTAAAAGTCCCCCTACCGTCAACCTACCAGTACTTTAGCCAGATACTGCGCACAGTTCCTCGTCAGCTGGTTGTTCCATAGCACCAGGAACGCCAGACCAGTCGACTCGTAACCGCAGCCTGAAACTATACAAACATATCTTTTATATAAAATTAAAAATGAAATCTTGTGAGCATATTGAGTAGCTCTGAGAATCGGCCAACAACTATTTTTCATCCCCCTAATGATAGGAGTTAGACGAAAGGTTTTGTTATTAATCATGTGGCATTAAAAAATACATAGATACAACTCAAAATGTTTACCTTTGTATCACCAACCCCTACTTCATATGCCGTTATATACATTCGTTTGCCGGGTCAGCTAGTATATATATACATAGTTGTACAAATTAAATATTTTAGTCATAGTAATAATATATGTAATAATATTTACCAGAATGTGGTGATAGCGGCGATGCTACAGTCGACGGTGGCGAATGTTCTGCTTGTTCGACCAACGCTGATGAAATATAATCCACACCGGAATCCTGAAAATACAAATTATATACATGTTATAAATATCAAAATTAGTTTAGTCAGTGGTGGCCTAGTGGTTAAAAGGTCCGCCTCTCATGCATGAGGACGCAGGTTCGATCCTGGCAAGTACCAATGTGATTTTCCCGAGTCATAAGTACTTTATAAGAGTATTTAGACATCACTGATTAATGCATTCCCAAAGCGGGTTGATGTCAGGCAGGCGGCCGGTCGTAAAAACAATTAGCCAAAACTATTCACAACATGTGAAGCAGACCCTGGCTAAAGCTGGAAAATTCCCAGGTAAAATAAGACAAATAATATAGTATATGTTTTAAATATCAAAATATAGATACAACTAACGCCATCTTGTGGCTAATATTATAAATGCGAAAGTAACTCTGTCTGTCTGTCTGTCAGTTACGCTTTCACGACTAAACCAATGAACTGATTTTAATGAAATTTAGTACAGAGATAGAGTTGACCTTGAGAAAGAACATAGGATAGTTTTTATAACAGACTTTTGAAAGGTTCTCTTGGAAACGCGATATAACCGAACTCCACGCGGGCGAAGCTGCGGACGGAAAGCTAGTTAGTAATAAATTAATCTCTCGTTGACACAAGTTGTTTTATTAAAATACAACTACACAAAATAATATATAAAATTATTCGAACTCGCGACCCATTGGATTTAAAATCCCGGTAGCTTTTCCAACTGAACTATCACGATCGTTATACATAATACAGTTTTCTATATTAGTGATGATTTTCAAATATTTCTTATATTTTTCGTTCTGTATTTGTATCAAATTAATTCATATTAATTTAATTTTTTGATATTTTGATCTAGTACTACGTAAGTATAACTAGTCACTGTCTCACTACTACCCCGCCTGAACGCACGTCCCCGTTCTGCTCCACGCTAGTCGTGAGACTGCCGAACGCATGCCGTCCCCTCTAGTGGGGTACGTGAGGTAGTGAATCCTACTAATATTATAATTGCGAAAATTTGTGAGTGTGTGTATCTTTGTTACTTCTTCACGCTCAAACGGCTGAAGCGATTTTAATAAAATTTTCTATACAAGCAGCAGACATCCAGGAATAACACATAGGCTACTTTACATCCCGGAAATCAAGGATATTCGCGGGTAGTTATATATATTTCGTGTTTCTCACCTGTATTAAGTTATTCGATAGATCCAAAAGCTGTATTCTCGTGTTGTATCGTAGTACTGATGCTATCTGCTGCGCGTCGGAGGGCGTGAGTCTATTATCACCAAGCCGCAGTTCGCGTATCGATGTGTTCGTCTTCAACGCTATAACTGGAAAATTAAAATTATATAAGTATATCTTATTCTTCAACCTGGCAAATAACAATTTCCCAGCTATAGCCAGGGTCTGCCTTATGTGTGGATAGTTTTGGCTAATTGTTTTTATCGGCCGCCTGCCTGACATCAACCCTCTTTGGGAATGTATTAATCAGTGATGTCTAAATACTCTTATAAAGTACATATGACTCGGAACATCACTTGTACTTGCCAGGATCGAACCCGCGCCCTCATGCATGAGAGGCGGGTCTTTTAACCACTAGGACACCACTGAATTAAATATTTATTATTTAATATAAATATATATTAGTTTACTTGTATTTGTTTTTCGTTATAACCTACATTTTGATTACTCTCAAATGAGCTAGATGATTCTTGTTTTTTTGGCCTTAAATTTCACTGTCATAGAATTTTTTTTGAGAATATATTTGATACAAGAAATGTATCATAAAAGCACTCTGTTGACACTTTTTTTTAAATATTCATTGTTGTTGTATACGTTCTTTGTTTTATTTTTTTATAACTTACAATTCTTACTTACTGTATTCTTATTAATAACTATTAAACAAATTCTGGATTTATAATAGTTTTTAATATTTTTTCTTTTTTAAATAATTTTAACTATGTATAAGTTCATATTGTTTTGCTTAGTCATATTTAATTAGCAAGTTGTGGTCTCCTGTAATTGAAGGCGCACAAATTTCTGTAAAAATTTAGAATTGATTAGTTTAAAATTGTATAGTGTATATTTTGTTGGGGATCCTCAAATAATAAATTAACTTAAATATTACGTATTATATTATGCTTATTTTTTGAAAAATATGTTGAAAAATGGAACTTATTATTTCATGCATATTTTTTGGAGAATACATTTAATAATGGAACTTATTATTCTATGCATATTTCTTTGGAAAGTCTACTTAATAATGAGATATATTACCAACTATATACCCTTCATTATCAACTAACTAACTCACCAAGACATAATAGCGGTTCCCCAGCCAACGCCGCCTGTTGTAAGCACAGCACCCTTAGTCTACAAGACGCGGGGCGAAGCGCCCTCTCTAACACAGGCGCGTGGGACGCCTCTAAGGGACTGTCACATACTTCTAGTTCAGTCAGCTCTACACTCTGAAATCAGTGTTGATAGATGAGTAAAACTAATATTATTATTATTATTACCTATCTTTATATATATAATTCTTCTGTGAGTGTGTATGTCACTGAACTTCTCTCAAACGACTGGACCGATTTTGATGAAATTTTTTGTGTGTGTTCAAGGGAATCTGGGAATTGTTTAGATTCACAATTTTGTCCGCTGGACAATGTTTTTTTAATTAATTTTTAATTTATTAGTAGTTGTTGATACAAACGTTTTTTTTACATTAGATTTGACAACTAACTAACAAGTAAATCATTCTGTCCCACTGCAGAACACGGAGATTTATGGCTTAAAGGTAAACTACAAAAAAATTAATAAAAAAATTTATTTATTCATAACGGCAGTACGAAGTCTGCCGGGTCAGCAGTAATAAAACAAAACACAGTAAATATGAAAATATACTAGGATTGACTTTCAAATGACCTTCGAATGACCTTGTAACTCAAATACCTTCTTAATCATCCTTGAAGCAGCCTGCCATCCTCGTATGCCGAACCTCTGCGGCCCCATCAGACATATGGCTGAAGTGCTCTCATAGAACTCTATCATGTCGAATAACGCCTCCTAGAAGAATGATTAGAGAAGAATTAAATCGATTCTTCTTCTTGATTTTAGGATTGAGATATAGTGAGGAAGTGTGCAGATAAGTATAATGTTAATAAATAGTTTTTAATGCCAACAAAAAGCGATATATTCTTTTTTGTATACGTTAAGTGAACTAAAAGTATTTTTTTTATTGAAAAAATAAGCTAAAAGCTGAAAAGTTATATGTTAAATTCAGGACAAATCAGTTCTTAACAAAATTCATATTGAAAAATATAAAATATCACTTATAGTCATTCACAAAGTCTGCACTTAATAACTGTTATTATAAATAAGAATATTATTAGAAAATAGGATGAGAAAATCCGAAAAACGTAACTATATAGAAATTATATACTTTTCGATTAAATTTAGTACCTGATAGAGTACATAACCTTTGTATAATATTATATATAAAAATATATGTAAATCTGATTACTGAACCATATCTCAATTAAGTTAATTGCACAATATCCTAGAATCAATTAATCGAAGAGATTTATACATAGGTGCGGTCATATTACTAGAAACGACACTTTTCATCATTCCATGTATTCACGGTGCGTGTGTCGAGTCCATCGTTGTAGTGAGAGGAGCTTCAACAGTGACTGGTACTTGTGACTCAGGTGTAGGTTTAAGGGACCCTATCTAACGTTAAACGATCACCTCCACCGTACAAGCTCCTCTCTCTACTTATAGTATATATAGCATAAGTCCTAATATATAATATTACATAAAAGCTATATATGTATATCTTTCATATAATTTTTTCTTTATATGTTTCTTTGGTATTATGTTAAGAATTTTACTAAAAATATATTCGCTTATATATCAACAGGTAGCTTTTTACCAAACGAAGCGAGATAAAAAATGCAATCGTGCATCTAGTGGCACAAAGTAAACTAAATCATATAAACGTTTTTTTCTGTCGCTACCAATCTTTACCATATTTTTTTTGTGTCACTACTAATCTATCTCATTTTTTTTCTGTCGCTACCAATCTATATCCTATACTCTTTTTTGCTGTCTCTACTCACCGCCCCCTCATCATCTATGTCAGCGTGGTCCAGCTCCAATCTCCTGAACTGCACCTTCCTCATGACAGCCTCCAGAGCATCTATAGCTCGAGCTCCGAGGAGACAACATTGAGACAGGATCAGTCGTGCTGATCTGACACCACCACCTATTGTATTGTCTGGTAATTCCTGGTCAAGAAGATAACATGATTTATACTAATAGTACTAGAATATATAGTTGTATTGGAACAAGTAATATTGCGTAATCCCTACTAATATTATAATAAGTAATACTGTCTGTTTGTATGTTACGCTTTCACGCCTAAACCACTGAACTGATTTTAATGAAATTTGGTACAGACATAGAGTTGACCTTGACAAAGAACATAGGATAGTTTTTAACCCAAAATTTTGAAAGGTTATCTTGGAAACGCGATATAAGCGAACTCCACGCGGGCGAAGCTGCGAGCGGAAGGCTAGTATAGAATATATTGTATAGATTTTGATGAAACTTTCGATTATTGTAGTTGAGAAAAATCATCATTGTAATATATATATATGTATATCTTATATAAGTAGACTTGAATAACTACATACATGTTATTCAAGCATGTAGTGAATGTAAAAGTACATATCAGAATAAAATAATATTTTTTAATAATCCTACATTCATCTAATAAAAGTGCTACTAAGTAATCATTATTGCTTTTCAATATTTTTTTATATGAAGAGTCTGGTGGTCTAGTGGTTAAAAGGTCCGCCGTCAGGCACGAGGGCGCGGGTTCGATCCTGGCAAGTACCAATGTGATGTTCTGAGTCATATGTACTTTATAAGAGTATTTAGACATCACTGATTAATGCATACCCAAAGAGGGTTGATGTCAGGCAGGCGGACAAAACTATTCACAACATGTAAGGCAGACCCTGGCCCGATAGAAGATTTTTTTTATATGGAAAAGTATATAAAATGTATCATAGTATATGGAGTTCCTATTTAATAGTATATTGTCATTATCTTGGTTCAGATGGAAGGATATTTAATTAGCTGGGCTAACACTAAATTGTAGGTCAAGGGTCATTGACCTCCAATATATTTTTGATTAAAAGTATTCTTAAAGAAACTATTGCTTAGCTTAGTGTCAAGTGGCGTCATCTTCTTCTTCCTGGCAATTTCCCAGCTTTAGCCAGGGTCTGCCTAGTCAATTGGCGCCATCTGTGCCATACTAATTATAATATACTATAATCCTTACAATTATTATTATGACTGTTTATAATTATTGATAATACTGAACCATTGCAATCTTGTATCAACATAAGTATCACTGTAAATACTGGCTTTTAAGGTAATTTTTTCAATTCAAATTATATACTTTTAAGGTAACTTTTTCACAATTATTTAAATAAATTAAATACTAAATGATTAATATATACAATATTTCAGTTCAATCTTTCTTCTTATAATCTGCTTCCAATGTAGATATGTGGAATTTTACAATGCAAGTTAGGTACGAGGATTTGCTCTATCCCCGACTATATACATTTATATATTTTTATAATATACCTTATACGTTAAAAATTTTGTTACTAATGCATTTTTTTTTTCAATTAAAACTAATTCTTTTTACCAACAAATACATATTTTTTTTAAAATGTATTTTGTAGATCACAGTATTATGAAGTTTTTAAAGCAAAAAATGAATTTCTAAATTGCTACATGGGCCCTTATACATAGGACCCATCGATATATGTCTTCTTCAACCTGGCAATTTCCCAGCTTTAATCAGGGTCTGCCTTACATGTTGTGAATAGTTTTGGCTAATTGTTTTTACGACCGGCCGCCTGCCTGACATCAACCCTCTTTGGGAATGCATTAATCAGTGATGTCTAAATACTCTTAGAAAGTACATATACCCATCGATATGTGTGTGTGTGTGCGTGTGTGTGTGTGTGCGTGTATGTGTGTGTGTGTGTGTGTGTGTGTATCCTCACCCTTATCTGCTGCAGGACAGAATCTATTGGTGGTGTCCTGTGTTTCCTGCATGACTCCAAATATTCTGCGGCAAGTTGTGACCGCGTCGTCGTGGGTACTGGGAACAGATAGACAGACATACATAAAAATATACACTATATAAAAACATACAATATATGGCTTTGATATCCTTTGAATACAAGATTATTTTTATAATGTACATAATTTTTAATAGCGCGGGATTTACTTTTAAAAGTCAAAAATAATCTTAAAATGTATGTTTATCAATGTTACAAGCAAAAACTACTAAACATATTTTGATAAAACTCATTAGTTATGTAGTCAGAATAACAAATAAAAACAACGTGTAGTTCACGAGGAAACACTTCGTAACAGATGTATTGTATGAAGTAACGAGACACGCGATAGTTGGCGCTGACTGTTGGTTCATATATAATATATATATATATATATATATATATATATATATATATATATATATATATATATTATGTGTATATATTAAAATCCTTATGCATTCCTCTCTAAACTATGTACCTAAGTCCACGAGAATTAATTAGAGTTCAAATTCCAATAACATAAAAAGCAGAATATCCAATCATTCTCATATTTTTTTCCTATAATGATTAATACATAGTAAGTACGCGATATATAATATTTTTACAACATATACAATGATAGAAATTAATCTTCAAGATGTAGATTTGAACCTATTGATATATAATAAATAAATATAGGAATTTTTACTACTGTACTATTGTGTTCTGACTAGAGAAGATAAATTAATCATTCTATATATATATATATATATATATATATATATATATATATATATATACTAGCTGACCCGGCAAACGTTGTTTTGCCATATCAAAAGTTGGTATTTTTGATACAAAAGTAAAATATTTGGGTTATAGTTATATGTAATAAAAAAATAAAAACAGAACCTTTCGTACAAATAAAAAAAAATAGGGGTGAACAACCCCTATTATTAGGGGTATGAAAAATAGATATTGGCCGATTCTCAGACCTACTGAATATGCTCACAAGATTTCATGAGAATCGGTCAAGCCGTTCCGGAGAAGTACGGGAACGAACATTGTGACACGAGAATTTTATATAAATAAGATTTAACATAATAAATAATAATTAGATAATATATATAGCTGAGTCAGTGGTGGCTTAGTGGTTAAAAGGCCCGCCTCTCATGCACGAGGGCGCGGGTTCGATCCTGGCCCGGGCAAGTACCAATGTGATTTTTCCGAGTCATATGTACTTTCTAAGAGTATTTAGACATCACTGATTAATGCATTCCCAAAGAGGGTTTACGTCAGGCAGGCGGCCGGTAGTAAAAACAATTAGCCAAAACTATTCACAACATGTAAGGCAGACCCTGGCTATAGCTGGGAAATTGCCAGGTAGAAGAATATATATAAGGAAGTAAATAGACAACCTGTCATATGTCATACTTAAAAATGTCATGTGGTATATAAAAAATATTTACACTCATCAGTTGAGCCTTATCTCATTGACGTAAGAATTAATTTTGGTAAACATATTACGTTCTCGTCACTTTTAAAACATTTCATCTACAGATACCTTACTACAAGTTCTTAGTCACTAACTAAATACTATGCGTTTCTAGTTATATAATAAACAGATATCAGTAACGTAGTTAAAACATGTAATAACATTGAATACAAATTTATTTGTACACTAATAATTGCCGCGACTTCGTCCGCGTTAATTTCTTCATTAGTAATATATGTATAGCTGACCGGACCAACTCTATTCCTTCCTATAAGTCTTCTGGTTCTAATCTATCTCTATACCAATCTTCATCCATATCCGTACAGTCGTTAGAGTTATAAATAGTGTAACTAACACGACTTTCTTTTACTTAGCATCCACGAACAAAGGATGAAAGGTTTATATGTATACCATTAAGTAAATTTATCAAGTCTTATATTTTAAATTAAATAAATTTATTTTAAATAAACAGCTTAAATAGGCGATCGACCTGAGGTAGATAATTCACCAAGTCGGGACCTGATGAAGGCATTTTCGAGCATCGAAAGAAAACTGGTAAAATTTATAATACGCGGACAAAGTCACGGGCGAATACTAGTTTGCAGTATACACCACCAATTAATTATCACGTCAATAATTTATTATCAAAATATATGTTATTTAAAAAAACGAATCAAAAACAAACGGGAAAAGAATTTTTACTTGAGACATTTTTTAATTGGGTAGATTTTCAACAAATGCGTTTAACATGTTACTTATAGTAAAATAAATATATTCACAAACATTGAGACATATATATATAAGAATAAATATAATTTTATACACTACCTTTTGACTAAAACATAAAAAAAAAACAAAAGTTAGACATACATACAGAAAACAAGTTAGTATGGCGAATTCTCTTCGAGTAATTTACCATGACCTTGACAAAAAACTCATAACAAACTTATAAAATACTTGATTTTGATATGAACGGCATGTAAACATAGTTTTACTTAACGTATATTCTCTATTTATATACAGGGTGACTGGTGAATTACTATCGATACTTGAGGACGTGATATTTGACGATCATATATGACAAAATAAAAATTAATATAACATAAATATTAATAAACTTCTGAGTAAAGTTAACCAAAAGTTATGTAATTAATTACACATCGTGTGAACATCCTACAGATTAGGTATACACACACACACACGCGTGCAGCGGCGTGGTGTTGTATCAGCACGCCGCCGCACGCGTCCACACTTGGAAGACTTGGAACGTGTCCACACTTTATTTATTTATACGGAAAATTGGTCAAAAATTAAATACCTATTTTTTTTACATAATTCGAATGAGAATCATGTACCGAGTATTCTCCTAAAATATTGATAGTAATTCACCAGTCACCCTGTATAAGACTCTGGCTACATGACGCTAATGATTATACGACATAAAAGTTATGTTTGTAAAATACTCTTCGTAATTTGGATATACCCATGCCTACTAATATTATAAATGCGAAAGTAACTCTGTCTGTTACGCTTTCACGCCTAAACCACTGAACTGATTTTAATGAAATTTGGCACAGACATAGAGTTGACCTTGAGAAAGAACATAGGATAGTTTTTATCCCAGACTTTTGAAAGGTTCTCTTGGAAACGCGATATAACCGAACTACACGCGGGCGAAGCTGCGGGCGGAAAGTTAGTTGTATATATGGCATTTTGTTTATTATTTTAGATTTATCTGTGTGTATCTCAATATTCTTGATGATGCTGAAGAGCCTTGTATTGGGCTTGCAATTTGTAGGACTGCATTGTATCTCTAAACTCATCTACAAAAACTTATTTCTTGACACTGTACATATATATCTATTTATATTGTAAAAAAAACTACTACATTTCGTCCAGACCCTTAACCTACTTACTCATAACTTGACATCTACATAAATTTTATAGTTTTAGCGTAGCTCAAGAACACAATAACACAAAAACTATCGCTTTTTTAACACGTTAAAAACAAAGTCACTTTACAAGCACTTACAACGTAAAATTAAATCAAATTATATTACATGAAACTAATAATAAAAAATATTATTTAATATGTCAACAGTGCGTCATGTAACCCCAGTCTTATCTGAGTATTGGCGACCTTAGCATTGAACTTCAACCCGAGTATGTGTAATGTGGTTTACATTTTTTTGCTTTTTAGGTAAACATTTATTAAACATTATTAGTATTTTTGCCTTGAAATATTAACAAAGAAGGGATCTACCACAGTTACGTATGTGATCAAGGTCGTTTAGGAATTGTTTTTGGTGAATTTAATCGGTCATTAGTAAAATATCTATTGATTAAATATTTGTACAACGTTTTGGGTACAATTTCTTTTATAATTATATGTAGACGGTCAAAACCGATCACATTTATAAATACATATGTATATACTAGCTGACAATGGGGTTGGTGATAAAGTGTCTATTTTGAGTTGTAAAAAAAATAAAAATAAACATTTTGTATGAAAATAAAAAATATATTAAAGGTGAACAACCCTGTAGCGGAGCTACTTAGACTAAGTTCATATTTTTTATGTAATTAGATATAACGAGTAAATTTTATTTTAAATTGTATATAGCGAGGATGCCCGCGGTGTCTATTGTTCTAAACGTCCGGACCCGCGCACCTGTAGCCCCGCCGGGTCCCCAGGTAGCCGGGGCCGGCTGGCCGAGCGTAGACCGCGCCCGGCTCGTCAGTCCGCATACAGATTTGTAGTGGAACGCTTGTCCATCATCATCAGCACTCACGCGCGCACCCTCGCTTACGTAAAAAATAATATCACCTGTGTTCTTGATTTATAAAACTAAAAAACCCTTATGACTTAGGGGTATGAAAAATAGATGTTGGCCGAATCCAGAGCTACTCAATATGCTCACAGAATTTCATCAAAATCGGTCCACCGTTTTCGGTGGAGTTCTCTGTCTAACACCGCGACACGAGAATTTTATATAATACTAGAAGACCCAGCGAACTTCGTATCTCCCTATAATCAAGAAATATATGTTACGTTTTTTTATTTATATTTTTGGAGTTTACCTATTAAACTGATTGACATATTAGTTAGTTGTCAAATCTAATGTCAAAAAAACGTTTGTGTCCACAACTACTAATAAATTAAAAATTAAGTAAAAAAACATTGTCCAGCGGACAAAATTGTGAATCTAAACAATTCCCAGATCCCCTTGAACACATACAAAAAAAATTAATAAAAATCGGTCCAGTCGTTTGAGGAAGTTCAGTGACATACACACGTACAGAAGAATTATATATATAAAGATAATTTCCATATATTAAAAAGATAACTTGTCTATTTCAAACCTCACATGTGATGTAAGATTTGTTGAAAAGACAATTTTAAAATATGCCCGACAATAACATTAGTGGATGACTGCCAAAAAAAATTCAATAAAGGTCATTGACATCACGTAATAACACATTATGGTTGAGAGGAAAAACATTTCGTGTATGTCTTTTTAAATAAACATATGTTAAAATAGTTCATAGCTGTATTACTTGTACAAC